ATGAGAGATGGTAATGGATCGAAAGAAGGTAAACGACGACTGTTTGCGAAACGATAGCGGAACCGGGAAGACATCTCCAAGCGACTGACGTCGGTAAGTTCGGGGACGAGTATCTCCATTTTTTCTCCCTGTGCCGAGCGCGTAGGCAAAAAAGATTTTTTGCTCATTTCCTCGATGCTGGGGTTCTCGCCCCAACGAGTAGGATAGAAGGTGAGAAGACACCTATGCATTTTCCCGATCGCAACGAAGAGGCGGCCTCGTCATCGGCATAAAAAGGGATTATGATTTTGCTTGCGCATTTCACGAGGCGAGAGACGCTCTTCGCGAATTAAAATTAGGGGGCGTCTTGGGCTTCGGAAACCTCTTCCTTTGCTCTTTTATCAGTCGGCAGTCGGCCTCGGGTTACCTGGCTTTCCGCTGACAGATTAACTGATCCTTCGCGTCTCTTTTCAAGTGACGTAATTGGACCCCAAAGTCGAGAGAATACACAACTCTGGGTGATTTGATTTTCCTCTAACTCTCTCGTACTCTTCGAGTGTCAGTCCAAAACGCTGGAATGCAGCGGTCGGCAGCTCAATTCCCCAGAGGGTGGGGGGTGGTTAAATGGCCAACATCCATCAAGAATCATTAAAATGAAAATTTTAATGAGCGTCTAATGTGAAATATGCAGTCGAATGAGACCGTAATGTGCGATATGGAAACGTCAATAACAGCAATCGCCACGCCACGGTCCAATCTCATCCCGCACTCCACGCACGTGGTACTGTGGTACCTGGTACGTGGCAGTTCTTGTGTCCCGTCGACTCGTATGCATCTCGTCACCGAGAGAATATCTGCTGGTGTCTAGCGACGAAGTGCCCTAATTGAACCCTCGATCCCTTCGGCCTCTTGCGAAGAAGACGCGTTGAAGCGACGTGCCGTTTCAGAGGTCGTTCGCCGACCGAATAGACAGAATTCAGGTATGGATTCGATCAAATAAATATTCCAGTGCAGAAATGAAAATGTCGATCGAGGTGCTCCTCCGCAGAAAAACCTTTAAAGGCCTTCTCACCCTCGGCCACGAGGAAATTAGTCACAGTCCGCTGCTCTCTCACAGGGTCCTCGGCCGTGATTGCTTACTTTCGCTCTTCTAAGGTTTGTCACTCTGCGAAATTTATGGAATTTTATGTAGGCTTGCCATAATCATAAAATACCAAGATGCGGATTTTAGGTGCAAGCGTTCTAAGATTAAAAAATAAAATCTTCGCACTTATCTACCCTCTCATATAAGCGTTTTCATGCCTAGTTGTGGCTTAAAATTGAACTTTTGCCACCCCCCCCCCCCCCCTTTTTGCACCTGCTTAGTCCTGGGAGCCACAGGGTCATTTCACACACCTGCTAAACTGGGAAGTTAAACTATAGTTACCGGGAAGCAGAATAATTTCTTCCACCTCTGCCCTCAAGTAAAATTAAGTATTTATTTCAATTATTTAAAGAAATGAAAGAAATTAATAAAATCATGAGGTTTAATTTGTTCAGCTTGTACTCATATCCCTATTTTATGTCGTATGTTTCCTAGTATTTCTGTACTACTTTCCATTATCTAGCTTGCAGAAACATATTTAAAAAATTAGCTGTGAAAGCAATGTCTTAGCTGAAATAAACATAAACGATGACGCCATTTTTTTTAGAGCCAGAAGAAATACGCAGCTTTATATTAATGTGGACTGCTATCAGCTTGACAACATGTGGTGAAATACTCGTAAACAGGGACTCAGAATCCCGCCATGGCCTCAAGGTCGTGCATTCCCGCGAAGCCCTATAACATATGCGAAGGAAATGGGGGACTCCTGAGTCCCGCCAGGACTGAAAGGGTTCAAGCCGTGCTTGGGACGAATCTGATAATAGCCGGCGTGAGCGCAAATTCAGAGCTTTCTTTAATTTCATTGGTGGTAGTCTTATTCGAATGTTCTTCCTGCTCAACTCCAAAGTTGAAGGTTACCAAAAGTGGCTGTTTTTATAACTTAAAATGAAAGACGCCGTGTAGGACTCAGAGGAACGAGTTGCAACTCAACATAATTGTAAGTGTTACATAGGTTAACAATTCCTTCGACTCGATGTGAATGAGTGTTCTCGTCTACGCCATGCAAAACCATGACATTACAATTTTTTCGAGACTTTTTCGAGGAACATAATTTTGGTTGTTTTGACGTGGAATGGACGCTTCGTGCTCGGTCCTTGATGCTCTCGAAACACACACTCGTGTGCTACAGTATGGTCCAAACGTCTGGAATCGAAATACGGTAGACGAGCCATAATTTGTGCCTTGTGTTTGTTTCAGATAGACTTAAAGCATGACATTGAGTAAGGACGAGAGGATAGAGGTTATCTTGCTGAGCGGGCGTCCCGGGTTAAGCGAACGAGAGATCGCAGCGGAGTTCAGCGCTCGGCACCCGGAGCGAGATCCCATCGGGCGGGCCGCTGTCACCAAACTGCTTGCTCGATTCGAGGAGACTGGCTCTGTCGTCGATCCTCCACGCGCTGGGCGGACGAGGATCGCTGCTGGATCGGCCAGAATCGGACAGAATCGGGCGGTGCAGTCGGTGGCGGCCACGTGGAGCACCTGTGACGTTGCTGCAAGGTTTACGCATTTCTGCATTCATTCCAGACTTTTGGACCATGACGTAGAACGAGTTCAGAAACAACCAATTTCTTCGCATGTGCTCTTTACTTCACTGCAAGTACTTTCCAGTATTGCTAGTGCTGTTTCAGTACTTACGACCCCCAACGGAGGCATCATTACCGTTAGAGAAGTTAATTCGTGCCTCAATTGTTGAAATCGGTCTCTGTAGAGATAGATAGTAGAGGATTGATCCTCCGGTAGTTGTTCCTGCGGGACATCGGGTATTGTCAACGGGTGCAGGAGGTCCGAGACGGTCCCGAGATTTCGAATTCGCATCTTCTACAGCTTCCCCTCGAGTGCAGCAAGGAAGCCCCTCGAAGGACCAGTCCATCTCCCCTCTGGTCGAGAGGAGTCCATCGAATTTATTGGAATCGGTTCGGTAGTTTATCCTGGGGGGGGGGGGGGGGGGGGGGGGGAGGTGGAGAGTGTTGGGGGGGGGGGGGGGGGGGGGGGGGTTAACTGTGTGGTCTCCCAGCCGAACAACGGTAAATCGGTAGATCCCTAAGAACGGTAGATCCATAACCGCGTGCATTCGGGTTTCTGGAAATACTGGACCGCCATGATGAAACTCGGTGGACTCGGAGGCCTCGAGGACGGAGGGGAGAGAGGAAACCGAAGAGTTCGTGCTTGGGCTGCGAGAGCGGGAAGCGCGAAACGAATGAGGCGGCACTGCGAGAGGGGACGGAAGGGGCTTCTCCGTGGGACTGGGCGAGTCCAGCTAACTTTTCCTTGGCTGCAATCGCTGCTTTCAAGTCCTGCTCCTTAAGGACTCAGATATGACTATCTTCAAACGATACGGTCTTCGTGAACTTCACCGTATAAAGGATTCGTTGCTTTAAAAAAAAAGGTAAAAAAAAAACTAGCATCATGAAGAACAGTTGCTCAATATTTTAGTATCGTATCCTGTGAGAACATAGGCATTTCCCCACATATTGCGGAATTCGTTCCTAACAGGAAATAGGAAGCGTCTGCAGATGAAAGCTATCGTCTATGCAATGCAAAATAAACCGATGCAAGAACAAACAAAGTCGTAGGTGAAAGCCGAGACGGCTGAAAGGGTATGTTGATTGAAGGCATTTGTATATCCTATCTGTATATGTACTGTGACTGTTGGCTCATCCTCGCGTGTAGCGAGGCATTTGGTTCCGCCCCGAAGCCCGTATTCTTTCGTGGCTCGTATTGCTTTGTCCATCCGAGAACTTTCGAGTCATGGACACCCATCGTTTCTCCAGAAAATCCTCCAAGAAAGGGTGAGCCGAGACGTTCTTCCCCCATCGTAAGCTTACCGACTGCCTGGGTTTGTCACGTAGATAAAGTAATATTACTTTATTGCATGCTTCTTGAAACACGATATCGCACATATCATATGGGAATCGTATCATATTGGAATCATATATCATTGGGTTTTCTAGGAATCGCCGATAACCACATTAATGCGACACTCGAGGCCTGTTGCACGGTTCCCCATACTCTATTGTAATACCTTATCTCCTCCCGTCCTCTTCGTGTCGAGAGGGTTCCTCTCGTCCCTCCCGTTTTCCTGCAATGTAGGGACACGAGCAACCGCTCTCGATGGAAAGGGAAACGTCGCCATCGATACGCGAATCGGGAAGGCAATTACCTGAAGGGGAGGGTCCCGAGCTGGCCCCGAGAGACCAGATGCGGAATGCACTCGCGGAGGGTTAATGCGAGTGTGTTCTCGCCGTCAGGTCTTCGGAATGGTATCATGAGTCACTGTATCCACCCCAGTGCGTGTCAGTAGATGTGCCAGAGAGAAGTTACCTCGTCGTGAAACGATCACGGACGTTTGAGAGGAAGAAAGTATCTCTCGACTCTAATTTCTTGGAGATGGAACGTGTACGGTGCAGTAATAAGGGAAAGGTTTTTCGATGAGACGCAGGTAACTCCCTTTCCCTTCCCACCCTCGATCATGTCCAGGTTTGCTCTTTTCTTATAAATGCAACCCCTTTCTTGTGATTGAGGTGGGCATGGGAGAGAATATCGTAGTGTGTGTGTGTGTGCGAGGGCCGTGCTGTGAGATGTCTGTTTCTGTACTCAACCGACCTAAACTAACAATACAAAGGGCTCGGGATTATGAAGGGGGGCACGTCTAATTTTTTGCAAGTTCACAACCAACCAGCAATTTAAAAATCAATTATGTTTTTCATGGTATGAGACAGAGTCGTCGAGACTTCAAATTCGGATAAAGATTCTCCAACCACATCATACAACAGTACTCACGGTCGAGAAATGTTGAAAATGTGACTGCCCCCCGCGATCACCCCGAACCCTTCGAACACATGCCCCAAACCGACCCACACCCCTCACGAAGTGACAGATGAACTCCATCCAGGCGCGGAGGATCGGAGAGACGGCGACGATGGTGCGCCCTGGTCCGCCAAACGACCCGGCCGAAGAGACTGGCAGAAGCAGCGGCTCGCTCCGCCTCGTCCTCCAGCGACACCGACTCCGAATGCGAGCCTCAGCTGTGCGTCCAGGTACGAAGCTTCGCGTTCCGTTGATCCTTCCTAAATTCCGTTTCCGCTCGCTCGTCGGTCGTCGAGTCTATACGGATGCGTGCTAGTCTACTTGCGGCATCGGTTGAACGCGAATACAGGGTGCGCCAAAAGTCTTTGGACAACTTCTTATTTCAAAATTTTCACCCATATTGCAAGCAAATAAAATCAAAATGTCACCAATTGTTGGTTGCACTGCATCTTTTCTATTGGCAAACTACCTTTCAACATGGCCGCTATCAGCTGCCGCAATAGCCCCCAGACGCTTCTTGAAATTCAATGCTGCGTTTCGCACTTGTTCGTCAGGAATTTTGGCCCATGCTTTGAGCAAAGAGAGTTTTAATGTCCCAACAGATTTGTGTGGCTTGGAGCATGCAATGCTCTCCAACATTCCCCAGATGGAGAAGTCCATATGGTTGAGATCTGGGGAGTTGGAAGGCCATTCACTGGGCTTGATGATATCCGGAAAATTGGTCTCGCACCACTGGATTGTGCTTTTTGCCTTGTGAGAATCCTGTTGGAAGGTCCAATGCTGTGGCCCAAAGAAGCCCTCAGCCCAAGGCTTCACCACCTTCTGCAGGACCTCCTTCTGGTAATATTCCTAGTTGATTTTGGCGCCAGGAGTGACAAAATGCAGTGGTGTTTTTCCTGTTGCCGTAACTCCTGCCCAAACCATGAGAGAGGCTGGTTTTTGCACTCGATGGACTCGCCGCAGTGAGCTCTGCCCATTCTTCAGCCAGAACTGGTCAGACTGAGTGTTGAGGTGTCGTTCCACAATGAATATCCTCTCATTCGTGAAAAGAATCCGTTCCCAGTCCTTGTTGTGAAACCGCTGAAACAGTGCCTTTGCTTTTTGCAGCCTAGCTTCTTGATTTTTGTAGGAAATTAGCTGAACCTTTTGCAGCTTGTAGGGCTGCATCTTGAGACTGCCCTTGACCAGTCTGCGGAGGGATGTGGCTGCCACACCAATCAATTTTGCCTGTTTTCGAAGTGAGCGCCGAGGATTTCGCTTTAGCAGTTGTTTGACCCTGCGACGCATTGCCACAGTGTCGACTGTGCAAGGGCGGCCACTCCTAGGTCGGTCGTTCACTGAGTCAGTCTCCTTGTATCGTTTGATAGCTGCATAGACAGTTGAACGCGGTGCTTTGAGCATTTTCGCGATTTCGCTCGCAGTGGCCAGCATTGAATAAGGCGATAGCAGCTTCACGCCTTTGTTTCTGCTCGTCGTTCGGCGTCATGAGGCTGAAACTCGGTGAGACCATGCGTCACACTGCACCCAACACCTGCCAAAAATTTCACCTAAATATCTCAAAACCATCAGCTTTTATGAGGGGTGTCCAAGGACTTTTGGCGCACCCTGTACTTCGATCGAGTTTTCATATGCTCCTGACGCAATGCCCATAGGGGGGAAATTACGTGCAATTTTGAATGGAGTCGGAGGAGGAGAGAACGACTAATCATACAGTTAGTCGACCTTAGAACTTTCAATGAATAATGGAAGCATTCGTTTTAGACGTAATGAATATTAAAAGGAAGCTCCAGTCCCTTACCCATCCTTGTTTGTGCACCATACTGATCGATGAGGGACTGTTTCAATTTTTATAAACCGTGGCCTTCCGCAGATCTGATTCCTATGCGCTCAAAATTTTAGCTTTGGCTTCTCATACACCACTAAAAAAAAAAACGGTTTTGGCAAGGGCAAGCAACTTCCGTCTTCCCTTCCATCTTCCCGTCGAGATTCTTGCTGGAGTCTTGATGTATTGTGGAGCGTGCCTTGAAACCTGAGCCCCCTCATCACTTCCGCTGCTGATATCGACCATGCAAGCAAAAAAATGGCTAACGCAACGAGAAAGCTAATTGCATGCTAGATGGAATCTGTGCGCAGTGTCGATACTTACAGAAGACTAGGAAAACACGAGGATCGTATTCCCGTGATTTCTTTCCATGAAGCAAAAGATGCAGTTGCTGCATTCATCAGCCGACCAGTCGCTCGAGTGCGGCGTCGAAGGAAGCGCTTTTCTCGCTCGTCATTCCAATAAATTATGGATTGTGGATCTCGCCTTGAATCCGTCACCCCGCTACTAGTGGTGGATTTACGATATTCACATTTCGGTTGAAAATGTAGAATTGCGTGCCTAATTCGGAAGCCTGTTTTGCTTCATCATCTACTATTGAAGGGGACTAAAGGTTTCGTGGCACCCTGTTTTCTGGTCGAGGGAGACGGTGAAAGCTTTCCAACGATGAGCGAGGTAGAATTTCAGTGATCGCGACACGAATTTCCGGCAATGAACGGGAAGAGAGAGGGTTGTGACCCGGCGCTCACGTTTTTTTGTGTTACATTTGCATTTTAATGTGACACTTATTTGCAGGTTCTCACGTATCCGGTGATGAGGAACTACACTAGCGTGCGGAAATTGCTGGAAAAGGCGTCTCCGGATTGGCTGTTGGAATTTCTGCAATTGGGAGGGTTGCGAGTGCTTCTGCAGGCCTTACAGGACCTCGACAGCAACAGGTCCATCGCCAACGCCCTCTTACAGGTGATGCTCTGAGACTCGTGCCCGTTCGTTCGTCGGGGTCGTGCAGAAAATTTATTTCTCTCGTGCAGTTGGAATGCGTGGGTTGCATCAGAGCCATCATGAAATCGTCGGCCGGACTTCAATACATCGTTAAGCACGGGAATTCTCTCTACGAAGAGAGCTTCGCTTCGTGTAGAGATGATTCGTTCTATGCCGTGGCTATATCGGGACGGAAGACCGGAGACGATCATCGTCTTTTTCTTTCAATCTGGCAGCCCTCGGGAGTAACAATACCCTGGTGAAGAAACAGGCGTTCGAGATCCTGTCTGCCCTCTGCTGGTGCAATTTCGAAAACCATTCCGGCCACGACATGGTGCTGAGAATCCTTCGTCTCCATGCCGTGAGGCTCCACTTCTTACCTCTTTATCTTCTTTTTGTGTCTCGACGCGCCGTCGTCGAGGGATCGTCGAATCGGATCGATATTCGACTCGAATGTTCTCGACGACCGTAAATGGCAGGAATCGGGCAGAGGGAACGATCGTTCGCGGGGCTTTGGACGCTCTATGCTCCCCATCGCGCCGCCGTTTACATTTGCAGATTGGTCACATTTGATTCATGACGTTTCACGATTTTTAACGATTTTTTATACGTCGCCTATCAAATCTGCACGAAGAAATACTGATACCCGCGTGGAGATTCATGCGTTTTCTCCGTCGGCAGAAGCAACGAGGGGACAGCCATCGTTTCGCCGTCATCCTCAGGGAATTACAACGCCGGGGTCACGGGAACGACGGAGCCTCGTTGGAATACACGGGGACCGTGTTGGGATTCGTCAATTCGCTCATTCTCCGGGTTCAGGACCTGGACACTCGGCAGGCCCTTCGGACCGAAATTCTGGGTACGTACCTGTAAAAACTTGAGCCGTCGCGGCGGACCGATGCTTCGATGTTTCTTCCCGCCTTCGCGATGGCAAAATTTCTCCATTTCGGAGCGGGGAAACGTCACGTCAGGTTGAAACGAGGACAGTAACGTATGGCGGCCGGGAGAGGAAGACGTGACGTGACGTGACGTGACTCGCTTGGGCTTCGTATTTCCCATAGCCATGAAATCCTGTAAGTGCTGAAACCGTCCATGTGAAAGACAGAAGGAAAAAATGATATTTTTCACCAGAAACTGGAAGGGAAAAAGAAAAGGAAGATAAGATTGGGAGTTTTTTTTATTTCTCTCTCTGTCAGTCTTCCACTCGATGTGATGTGGTGCATGTGGAATGTTCTTGTGAACGTGGAATGTTCTTTTCATCTCTTCGTTTCCAAATGTACATCGGTTTACCCCCTATCTACATTCCGGCTTTACCCGTTGATGAGTCTCATTTAGCATGTAGTTGACTTCTCGCATGCATCGTACTCGATTTCAGAAAGAAACTTAGCCATCATCAAATCAAACTGATGATTGATAACGATTGATGATACAGAAAGTTTACCTGAAGAGAAAAGAGGAGGACGTACTGATAATGACTTCAAGCGGTTGGCTTTATAAATCTCTCACGTGTAAAATTTCCTTTAGAGCTTTGTCCTACGCTTTGGAATGGCGACCGCGTTGAAAGTAAAAAATAATGGCACGGACCGGATTGCCAAAAATCTTTTTGCTCGAATGCGAAACAAGTGACGCGACGTACATTAGAGCCGGTCTCAGTCTCCTGCAATCACTCGCGATGTCGCTTCTGGCATGCGAGAGATTCACTCGATCACGAATCTTGATTACGTCCCCTCCGGTTCCATCCGGTTCCCTCCGGTCCCATCCGGTTCCTTCCGGTCCCATCCGATCGATCATCATCTCCGGCGCAAGCTTCATCTCGCAATATGGGAAAAAAAAACTCGTAGACGAACCTGAACCTTCCGAGTCACCTTGAGTGATGAAATCGGAAGGATTCGTGAAAGCCTCGAATGAGAAGAGGCAAACGACGATCGACGAAGTTCGTACAAGGCAGACAGATACCAGCAGAAAGGGGAAAATCAACCTATCGGAAAGTAATGAGACCGAGAGAAAACCCGAAAACTCTTGAGAACGGAAATTGAAAGGTCGATTGATTGCTAGGAAGCTGCCCTGTTCTTTGCTACCTGAAAATGTTAACGAACTCGGCTTTCTTTCGGTTATAATGACAACTGAGAACGAATGAATTCATGTCCATGGATCCTGAGAGGGAGAAAGGCTCTTCTCAATTTGTTAACCGGGACGGGAAACCTGACCGCCGCCCGAAGATTTTTTTTTTCTCGGTCCGATGCATCGATTCCCTATCGATAGTTGAGGTTGATTCATCGACGTTTTGAAAAATGCGATCGTGACAGCCCTAATGAAAACTGCCGTAAAGAAAAAATGAATAAGAACCGGTTAACTTTATGCGAAAATAAAACTTTTTCTTGCGAAAAAGAAACTTTCTATGCGAAAAAAAAACGTTTTTTTATGACCAAAAATACTTTTTAAAATGGCTTTTAAAAAAAATCCACAAATGAAAAGTTTTAGCGACTTGGTGTTGCGAAGTGCATATATATGGACGGGTGATAACGACACGAAACGATGACATCGTAGGCGCGGGGATTATGGATGCCCTGCCCCTGTCCGAGGCGAAAGAGAGCGAGGAGCTCCAGGTCCAGATCAATGCATTTCAAGAACATCGAACGAAAGACGAGGAGACCCTCGAAAGCCACGGCGTTTCCCTCGATCGATCCCTTCTGGAACTCCTCACCGATGTCTTCAATAAGGTCTTTTTTTATATTCTTCTTCTCTTTCATCTCCGTCTCGGCTTCCCTTCCTCATCCGTCACGGAACTTTCAGTTGGAGGGGACGCAGAGCGACTTCAATCTCAAGATGTTCCTCTTCAAGTTGATCCGCGTGGATCATACATCGGAGGATTGGTAAGAACTCGTCGGAATGATGGGAGCCGTTTCGATCGCGACAGACCTAATCCCCATCGTAATTTTCCTCGCGCATGAAGCCTGAGAATGTGGGAAAGAGTTCATGGGAGTCTGGAGGACGACCGGGAACTTTCCATGGTACACACGGCCGTACAAGTACCGGAAACCCTCGACGAAGAAGACGATTCTCGGTATACGACTTTCCTCTTTTGTCCTCTCGCCATTTTTTTAAAATCATATTGGGCGAACAATTGGAAGAATTTCCGGCTCGTCGCGCGGTCTGTTTATTTTTATTTGGTCTGTTTTGGATACTCTTTTACGGGGGAAGTGGAGTGGGGCGGCGATGTGCAAGGCCATCGGCCGCTCTTACGCTAGATAAGTACTTGTCGTGAGTTCCTGCCTCTTCTTGCTCGACGCGCTGCTTGACAGGGGGCATGGCACGGGTCAAGTGGCTCCTTCGACCGTTTCCATGCTCGCTTGCTGACTTTCCCGTAGACAGTGCATGCGTTCGGTGAAAGAGGAATGGAGTTCGAGCTTCTTTTTATGCGATTGATTGGGTGAGGAAGAGAGGGTAAATGTATCCTCATGACTTTGTCTTTATGGGATCGGCCTCTTCTCAGGTTTTTTTTTGCGGCTTCAATATGTCGTATGTGAATCTTACTAAGCATATAGGGATGCCCTATATTCGTCCCTGACAGGGCAATAAAAAAGGTTCATAAGAAGAGCCCGTTCATTCTCCGGCGGGTCCTTTCTTGTTTGTGACATAGCCCATGGTATGACGCAATCACACGTGTATTGCCAGGTCCAAAGTAATCTTGAGGAAAGAGGGAAGGTCAGAGGAAATTTTCAAGGAATCTTTCGGAGTAGCCTGAAATAGAAATCTAGAGAAAACATCTCAAAGATATGCTCATCTAAAAGTAAATAAATAAATAAAATAAACCTGAAAGAGTCGCTGATCCGGTCGACAAGATAGCAGGGGAGTGACAAATGACGAGGCGTATGCGCTTCCATTAGAGCATTAGCGTAAAAAGTATACCTTCGCAGATAAGTTCCAGTTCGATTACTTCGGACGCGAAACGAGCGGTGAGCAGGCTCGAACGCATACTGATAGCCGAGGCCGATAGGATGGGAACTGCTGCGAAGGATAGACGGTGTTTTATCGGGATTCCTGAGTCTACCGAGGGGGCTTCAGGATTTCCGGCGCTTTTCCGTGGGGCACTGCCGTGGATTCACTCCACGTCGAGTGTGGAAAGCCAGTATTGTATGTCGAGTGAGGATTTAATTTACCGGCAGCACTTGACGCGCTTTCACGGTAGGTGGAAACGGTGTCGAGTGAGAAAAAAAGGAAAAACTCCTGAACTGGTGTTTAATGCCACGCGGACCATTAGTAGCTAGACGTTTCGTGGACAACTTTGTCAGAAGCAAAGATAGAAACAGTGGAAAGCAATATTCCAGATAAGAAAATTAATTTAAGAAATTGAAATTTAACATAAAAGGCATTTTGCAAATTTAAAAAATATAGAAGAAATGCTTAAAACATTAAGAACCTCTGAAATAGTGAAGTAAATAAACTATTAAGGAACTGCAATCATGCTCAAGAAAAAGAAAAAGGGCATGAAACGTGAGATGAATCAAATTTTTTTTTCGATCAAGAACTGCCGGCACAAAACCGCCATAAATTCATATTTGACCATGCAATTCCACCGAAACGGTCAGAGAGTCTCATGGAGAGTTTATTTCGGGGGGGTTTCAACCTTAAAGATCCAAAATACAGAAAAGGCATGAATCATTACTGGATCAGGAAGAGTTACTCTTTGAATCGGGAGGATGTTGAATTGAGTTCACTATTGAAATTAATCCCAGTGGGCTCATAGTGTAGACAAGCATATCTGATGTCTTCCAAGGCTGTTTCAGACAGATCTTCCTGTTTCTCCCACATATTGCTCGGTACACGGTTAAACGTGACGAGATACTGTAGATGACTTCGACATCTGAGCAACTCAAGGTATCAAGGTAGTTCATTGGTATCAAGAGGCGATAACACCCATTTAGATACCACGTGTCGAGGTCGAGCGTTCCTTAATTTTAGGGTAGGCTTACTCTTGAAGTTAAATACATACATATATATATATATATATATATATATATTTTTAGCATATCCTAGTTGCTTACTGCCTATTCCCTTACGTCAACACTGTCCCCATTTTTGCTTTTCCATTAAAGCATCTAGTTTCTTCCTAGAGATAGTAACGGAAGGGGCAGCCACCACGTCGTTTTCCAATGCATTCCACGCGTTCACCACTCTACAAGTAAAGAAGTCCTGTCTCGACCTGAGCCGCACCTGCGGTTTGCGCAACTTGAGTTGGTTAAGTCAAATCTGTGAATTGCACAACGACTTTGGATCCCAACTATTTGTTCCCTTGTTTCACTAGAGCTGACGGCGTCTGTGTGCACAGGCCCATGTTGTATTATACCTTTGGTGAAACTTGAGGAAAAGACGAATCGGATGACTCGAAGCAGGGAAGGATTTCTCTCATTAGATTTTGTCGTGCTCATCCTTCCCGATGAGCATTCGGCTAATTCCGCACCCCTTCTGCTAAAGCCGCAACGCTATTCTGGGAATTCCGCAACCCTTACTTCTTCCATGCCCCCTCACCCTTCAAGGGCGAAGTTATTAGTTTTCAGGCCCTTAACTTTGGCATTGATGGATAATGGTTCTTCCCATGTTCAGATTTACTAGGAGTTTAGGTATAAATAAATAAAAATCTCAACCAAACGAAGCGAAAAAGCCCGTCTCCAAGATTTCCTCACGACAAGTATAGGGCGTCTTTTGTCTTTTCTCTAGTTTTTTTTTTTCAGCGATGGAAAGTGGGGGCCTCAAGGCGTATTTTAAAGGAAAGGACCTCCAACGTATGTCGTAAATTATCCTTGTGATATTATTTTATTTCAAGACAGTGAAATTATCATACTCTTGATTTCCAATGTTGAAACATAATTTGCCAACCCTCCTCCATTATCATTTATGGTTGTTCGTGGCACTCCATACATTTTGGAGTCCCACGCAAGCCCATCCTGCCAGACTTTGTGGCGTTAATTGCCGCATCTTGATCTTCCTGCAAATACTTATTGCTTGTCCTATCCTTCTTACTGAATATTACGAATCTCTAAAACATATATACATGTATCACACGGCCTTACTAAGCTTAGAGGCCTGACATGGCTGTGTGCAACGTATCTCCTCCGACCCGGCTTCCCCCTAACCCAGCCGCAAGAAGTGGGATTTCAATTTCCCGTAACGCATAATAAATTCGGCCTCTCCACGAAGTACGCTTCCTTCAACGAGTGGACATTCTCAAAACCCGAACCATCCTCCCTGTTACCTTCCATCGACGTTCCCAATTATTCGCCGTGCAAAGTCTCCATTAACCTTAAGCCCAACATCGGCTATACCCATGGCCTTATTCACGAGTCCTTCCGATAGTCTATCAGATTTGAACTGAAATCTTCCCCGAGCTACCTCTAACATTCGAACATGGAAGGAATGTGAAAGACATTTTTATCCATTCCATTCTTCTCCACCGGCTCCAAAGAACCCTGCAACTTCACCTTTGACTTGGTCGGATGTCAATGTCATCTACCTCATCACTTTAAAAGGCATGTTCAACAACATGTGGGAGAAACAGGATTATCTTTGTGCAATGGAGTCAAGGGCTGCGTCTGATATGCCTGTCTAGACTACTCACTATGAGATTTATTTCAACTGTGACAACCTTAGCTTACCGATCTCAACATCCAATGAAAAATGAAAACCCTTAGCCAGCCAAAATGCGAAAAAGGGAATCTCTTTGGATTACGACATTGAAACCCTTCATTTATACACTGATCCCGACTTTCAGAGTACTTAATTTTTTTTTTCCTTCACTCTTCTGTATCTCCTCACTTATCTTCCTCTTATTCCATCAATTTCTATGTTTTAGAGGACCTTCTTTTCGGAAAGAAAGAACCCCTGGCCTTCCCGAAATGACGTCCTTGGACAAATGTGGAAATTATTTCCATTATGTGGCTTAAGTTCTCTTTTTGAAAAAAAAAGCCTTCTTTTTATCATTGAAATGTATTATTGTGTGCCGTTTCCACTTCCTTACTTTTTCTCAATGCACGATTTTATATCTTTATTCAATTATACTGTCTTATCTACTCGTATTTGTGAAGTTCTTAACAATTTATTCTCTATTTTTTATATTTTATTTTATTTTTTATTTAAAATTTTAAATTCAATTCAATTTTAATTATTATATATATGTATGCATGTATGTTTTTTCCATATGCAATTTGTGGTCCGCGTGACATTACCCTCCAGTTCGGGATTTTCTCTTCATTATTATCTGTGCTTTGCGCATTTCCCATGTAGCCAGGACCACTGCGGACCCTGGTTTGAGCGAGGTTAGTGGTTTCTTTTTGCGTCAGTTCTTCTTGCATCAAGTGCATGTGCTCGCTTGCTTTTCGCTAAAAGGTTTAAGTGACGCCAGCCAAGTTGAACGTCACGTGGCAAGTATCATGGCCTTGGAGGGAAATACTTGCCTATTGTAATAGCAGTCTATAGCACCGTGGTTGGAGCCCTAAATTCTTCCTACAATCTAGTCTATTGTGGAAAAAAAAAATAGCTAAAAAATTTCCCTGATGATGAGCAGATGCTGGTCGGCAGTGGTGAGAGAGACGACCAGTAGTGAAAATTCCGTTCGGAGTAAGGGGACTTCCAATTCTGCCACTCTTTCCATGGTCTCTACCAACAGTGACGACAGCTTTCTTTCTGCCTCTCAATTTCAAGAGGACGTCATCACTCCTTCCTTCGAGGAGCCATTTCCCATGTCAGCTCATATCACTTTTTGTACCATCTGTAACAGTCTACGTGGGAGGTGACATGCAGGTTTTTTGTCAATTTCAGTGAAAAAAAGAAGGAATTGGAAGGGAAGAACACACAAATCAATCCGACTCTGAGACAAAGAAAGGAAGAGTCTTCGTTGTGCAATGGTGATGTCTGTGATTCAAGCTCGCTGGCGAGCGGAAGGACCTCATCATCTCCGGCAGTGAATGCTGACGATGCACGATCGTCCTCGTCGACTCCAACCTGTGATACCATGGACACAGCCCCAACTTCTCATGATCCAGGTGTAGATGCATCTCCATTACTACCCGCATCGGGCGTAGAAGGATCTGTACCTCCGGCGTCCTCTCCTCCTATTCCTTCTTCAAGTGAAGGTGAACTTCACCCTCGACCGGCGTCTCCTCCTCCTCGAGGAGGAGATGCGCTTTCCCCTTCACTACCTCCTTCCGGTGAAGGTGGCCTTCTCCCCTCGTCACTACCATCTCCTCCAGGTGCAGGTGAATTACCACCACCATCCGCTCCAGGTGCAAGTGAACCACCACTACCCCCTCCAGGTGCAGGTGAACTACCAACACCACCTCCCCCAGGTGCAAGTGGACTACCGCCGCCGCCGCCACCGCCACCTCCTCCTCCTCCTCCTTCAGGTGTGGGTGGACAACCACCGCCGCCCCCTCCTCCTCCAGGTACAGGTGGACTACCACCGCCGCCCCCTCCTCCTCCAGGTGCTGGTGGACTACCACCACCACCTCCTCCAGGTGGTCCACCTCCACCCAATTTTGATGGGCTCGATGGACCCGTTGGATTTCGGAAACCTCCTAATTTGGAAAGAAGCTTGGATTTGACTATCGACATTCCGCGTCCACATCAGAAAATGAAAATCTTGAATTGGTCCAAGGTTCCCGGAAATGCGATAGGTGAATTTATCTAAATTCTCTCCAATATGGCTATTATAGAAAATTCAGTATTTGCTTCAATTGTCCTTCGTTGCAATCTGAATTATCTAGTGAGAACATTGAAGTAAATCGTTCCGATTTGGCCTTTCTGTTGTTAGACAACTCAGTGTGGCGTGAAGTTATCGAGCACGCAAATGCCGAGCCGATGAACGTGGACTTCCAAAAGTTGGAGTCACTTTTTTGCAGGAAACCTGAGACCATAAAAAACTCGCCGTCACCTCATAGAAAGATAGGAGTCTGCGAGGTATGAACAATTCATTTGAAAGTTCAATGTGGTTGCTTTCCATGATATTCAACGATCACTCGATATTTTCTGCCAGATCCAACTTCTAGACCCGAAAAAGAGTCTGAGCGTAAACGTGTGGACATATCAGTTCAAAGGAGGTTGGGAACCAATAATCGAAGAGCTGAAGAGCGGGAAGCTTCATCAGCTCCGTTCCGAACACCTTCAGAAGCTTCTGCTCATTCTCCCCACTGACGAAGAGGTTCCCCTCGCACTCATTTCAGTCTTTTTGCTTTACACGAAGGAGGATAATGCAGATTTTTCTCTTTTCCCATGCAGGCCTTGGCGCTTAGGGACTCCAAGTCGGCTCCGGAGAACCTGGGCTCAGCCGAGAAATTCCTCCTCTCTTTGCTCGATGTCCCTTGCATTTCCTTACGTGTCGAAGCCCTGATCAAAGTACGGAAGATGTGCTCTAATCTTCCGCCTCTTTTCTCTTCTTTCCTGTCACCCACACGAACTAGAATCCAATTACTTTCCCTCTTTATCGATCCGCCTTTCCTCTGTCTCCTTTTCCTTTTCCTTCCCCCTGTCTCTCGTCTTAATCTGTTTCCGTCTTGCTGCCTCGAACTCAAGCGGAAGCGAAAAACAAGGTGTAATGAGGAGAATCGAGGGTAAATTTGCTTTTTTTCAGAGGGAAGACTTTCACGGAGTGAGGGAGTCCATTAGCCGGGACATCGAGGTCATGTTGCAGATGGGCGAGAAACTCCTTCATTCTCAGACCTTGCCAAAATTCCTTGCACTTGTCCTCAAGACGGGCAATTACTTGAACTCAGTGAGTCCCAGCAACTCATTCCACGCGATGAATTCCTGGTCTTAATCCGATTATTATTACTCAGGGGAGTTATGCTGGGGGAGCAGCAGGTTTTCGACTCAGCTCCCTTCTCAGATTGGCCGAGGTTCGAGCCAACGAGCCCAGAGTGACTTTGATCCATTATATAGTCGAACAGGCCCAGATTTACAATCCTAAGCTCTTGGATTTCGTCGCCGAATTGGAAGGACTCAATCTGGCTACCAAGTAGGAACGAGTGTGTCCTCATGCATACTTTCGTCACGGAGGTTCTTCATCTCTTTTTCCCACCATCTCGCGTGTCATGCAGGATCAGCTTGGAGACGAGGGAGGAGGATCTCAAGGAATTATCTTCCGATATCGGCAGATTGAGAGAAAAACTCATGAACGCCCCGAAGGATGTTCAGGACCAGTTTTCGGGTAGGAAAATGACTTTTGTTGAAATCAGATCACCCAAGTAGCGCAACATCTCACGATTGGGAAGCGGATTATGTTTAAAGTGGATTCATTATTGACTCAGGTTTCCAATTAAAAGTTCGTGCAGGGGCAAGGAAATGTACGAAGTCAATTAGTATATAATCGAATTCACTGTGAGCTCTCATTACCTTTGTCAAAATACCGAGAACTCTCCTTTATGTAAGCTACCGATAGCTATACGCTCGGATGTAAGGGGGATCTGGAACGGATCCTCGAGGAAGTCCTGCGCAGGTGCATGAATCGATACTACTGTGGAAATCCCCATTCTAACGTGGGAAGGGCGGCACGAGGGCGAAAGAACACGTGGCAGTGAGCTGCAGGAAGCGAAAGCAGGATAGAATATGCGATTCTTCACTCTCATCTGAGGCAGGAAAATCGATCGCTGGACTCTGCGCCCGTCTTCGCTTTCAATCCAGGGCATGACACTTGGGGTGTGACTATGGAATCTGTTTTTGCAGTATGATTGGAATTAGAATCGAATCAAGAAATTAGCCCTGGTTTTCGAGGTCTAAATTTGGAAGCCTTTTATTTATTCGAAGAGTCCAGCCTCTCATGTATGGAATGAGAGAGCTCCAGGAGAACGTGGCAGCTTGAAAATTCGACCCCAACTCATGGCATGTATTTCGCATTTTGTGGTTCTAATTCGTTGCATGTCGATCGATTCAGCATGGGTGGAGGAGGCGGTGATCCGGGTGGAAGAGTTGGAGAAGGGATTCGAAAAGGTGAAGAGGATGCAGGAGAAGATCATTATGCATTTCGCCGAGGATGCTCTCAGTTTCAACATTCAAAGTTACTTCCAAGATCTGGTCGCCTTCTGCGAGAGAGTAATCATCGTTAAAAAGGTGACTTAACATGTCTTGGCTGGTCGAAACCCTAGTTTTCCAAGAGAACGGAACTGTCACATTAATCACGAGCGAATCAATCTAATCGGATGTGGGGGAGGAGGGATCTGTCTTCCTCCCATTATCACAATGAGAAGCAGAAAAGAATGAATAAAGGAGGAGAAATTGCTTTCGACCTTCTCGGAAAAGCGCGGAGAAAAAGGGAAAGGAAATCCGCCCTGATTCCCTTTCATCTTTCATGTAGCACAGATTTCTCTATCATTTCCTGTCTCCTACCTTTATACTATTACTCCTAAATACGTACAGAAAAGAAAGAAGATCCATTACGTGATCTTTCCGCTCAGAACACTTCCAATTTCATCCCTCTAAGGTTGAAAGGAAAGGTGATTACGTAACCTCCCAGCTCTCCCCTCCCCCTTCGGGGAATTTATTAATTGGAGGAGATGAATGTCTCTCCTCTCTTTGAGAGGAAGGAGAGACGCTGTGAGGGGAGGCGCAAGTTCGCCTCAACTCCCGTTCCTATTTTATCAGTTAAAAATATACAAGGCATCTCAGCTCAAAATTTAAAGAGGGAGGAGGTAGCCATGTTCATCGACATTGGAATCCGAAATTTTAGTCAGACCGGACTTTTTCTCTGCTGTTACTCATTCCAGTTCGAGCTGGAAAGCCATCCTTTGAAGTGCGATCCACATGTATACTCTTGTACATAACCAACTGGAGAATGGGATAAGAATACGAAAATATTGTCTAATGGCACTTCGACCCTCGTGTGAATTTAGGCTGAAGTGGCTCATGGCGATTCCATGTCACTTCTTCGAAGGCACTTCAATTGGACTTTTTTTTTTAAGGCTTTCGTCAGATGGGGTTCAGCCAATATACCAAACCAACTTGATTCTGAGCCCGTGTGTAAGGAAGAAAAAGCCTCCTTTACGGATGGGATGAGCAGGGGTGAGCATTCCCCCTTAAGGAGTTCATGTCTAGATAGGGGAAGAAGGAAGGAGAGATAAGCCAGACAGTGAAGAAAAAGTCTTATACGAGATCTTCCAATATCAGGGTCTCCAAGGCATCGAGCATCTCCTCGTCCACTGCAGGTCGTCTGCCATTGTTTCCTGTTAGCATCAATGGAGTATGGTAAAACGGATAATCAAGAGAACAATCCGTACACATCTCCCAAGAGTAAAAAAGGAAAAAGCCAAAACGAACAAACTTCAGCATCCTAACAGAAAGTTAAGATAGAACTCGAACATAACAACGTATGAGAAAATCACCTACTTCTTAGGTCTTGATACTGGCCATCGTATCAAATTGGTGCCAACATCTCTTCGCCTTAGACGGACTAAGATCCAACAATTGATAATTCTTATGTGCATGCAAGCCAAAATTTCCTTGCGCCCTGGCGTTAATGAGGAGGTTCCGCTTGACGTCTCTCTCCATTCGATGAGCCATCTTGGAGGTAGTGTGCATATCTTCCTTGGATAATGCCCTTTTATTCATATCAAACCGAAAACTTGTTCCAACGTTTTGTTACGGACAGGTCAACCAAGCGAGTCAATTCTGAATGAAGTCGTTCTTTCTTTCCATGCGGCAGAAGGGGGACATTGGGTTCACTGTCTGGTTTCTTCTCCTTCTCTCCCCTTTCTGAACAAGAACTCCTTGAGGGGGAATGCTCACCTCTGCTCATCCCATCCATAGAAAGGCTTTCCCTTCCTTATACATGCGCTCAGAATCAAGTTGGTTTGGTATATTATATTCTAAAACTTAATCGAATGAGCGTTCTGGTGGAAAAACAAATATGGAGTATGTCACAGTCAACGATGCATTACCACGTGATCAATTGTTCGCATGACAAAGGTGTCTTCACTGAACTCCATCTGACGAGAGCCTGTCGAATAAACGTCCAGTCGAAGAATAGTCCCGTCGCAGAAGTGATATGGGAACCGCCCAGGGCAGATCAACCGGCTCACAGGACGCTGACTATTCACAAATGGCCTGTGATGAGTCGTGATAGTATTCATATACAGCAGGGGTGGCCAACCTTTTTGCCCAACTGGGCTGCATTGTCCCTTAAGGGACCTCCAGCGGGCCGCAATATCTGTTTTTTTTTTATATATTAATATTACACTACTTTCAGACTAAGTCACAGAGAAGGTGTCAGTGCCGTTTGATATCGTACTCCTTCATCACAGCAATGGTTTCATTGCAAATAAGGCACAAAACCTAAAGGGGTAATAGGTGGGATAAGTTAAAAACAGGAATTAGATGAAACTTCCTCATTGGGAAATGCTAATAAGAAAAGGCATATCCGCCCTAAAATAGAGGCAGCAGAACCATAATCCAAAATTAAATTAAATATCCTTCGGGATTCCTTCCTTCCTTGGAATCCTTTGGGGGAATTCGCGCTTAAATTCTTGTGTTAGTAAGATCTTTTCGCGTTTACGTTCTAAATTACAGCTACAGTGGCATGACAAAGTAGGCTGTTAAGTTTTGGATTGGGCACATTAGACAATATAAAGAGATATTCTTCCGTCCAGCTACCTTTGAATTCGCGATGCTCGCCGCCGACATTTCGATTTTTACGTTAAGCTGTCAATCGGCAATACTGGCACCGCACAACACAGGAAAACGGTAACAAAAAAAAGCTTTCTTGGGAACTAGCTGACTGGTTGTCCTTTTCAAGGTGAACAACTGTCAGTGGAACAAACGAGATCGCATAACTGCCGAGGGGGTGAGGGAGGACGCAGAGAAAGTGACCAATAAAAAACTGGATTTCGGGAGCCGGATGAACTGTCACCGCGGGCCGGATCCGGCTCGCGAGCTGTAGGTTGGGCACCCCTGGTATACAGGTACTCCTCCGGGGAAGTGGGTGGAAGGGGGTGGGAGGGGGAGAAAGGAATTCGGAGCGGGGTAACTACCCCCTCTCGCTCCGTATATTGATCTTTGAAGAGCGTATTACAGAAGCTATGACATCTATGTGAATCCCCCATGGATATTTTTTTCATATAACTCTCCCGCTTTGTGTTGCAGGAAAACGAGGGGGTGAAGAAGCGGGATGAACGGAAACGGTCCATTTCCTGCACGAAGCTCCCCGAATTAACGATGGGAAAGTCCGGGAACGGGAGGCGAAGGAAGGTGGCTCAGGTTCCAGACGAAAACACCTTGAACCTGAACAACATCTTAAGGAACATCAAGCAGGGGGAGTATAGCCTCCGGCGTGCCAAATCCGTTCCGCACGATATCGATCTTGTGAAATCGCTCAATGAAATGAAATAAAGTGAATAAAAACCTCTTCGGATTAAGAAAGGAATCGAACGTCAATTCTGTCTTTCCAACCGGACCGAGAGAGACTCGGCGTCAAACTCTGACTCCGAGATCAACAGTGACGGATAAATATAGAAGCTTACCTCAGGTCTCTTTTTTAGCATCTGAAAAACACACCGCACCTCAGCGTTTAATGTTGGCACAACGTAGGGGGTGATGTTGACTCAATGTGGAGCCAAGAGACAAGAGCCTACAGGAGACCAACGTGGGCCCCACATTGCATTTATTGGAGTTCAACATGATCCCTACGTTAGCCCAACGTGGGAGTGTTCCTTAGATGCAGACAGACTTGGAGCAAACGCCATTGGACTGATATGAAGAGATGGACTCGTTTCGCTCGGAGGGGTGTGCCTCCTAAGTGTCTCCCGCTGCTCATCCAGTGTTAGAAGTACTGGAAGGTACTGTACTGAGAAGTACTGGAACGTGCACCTCGGCCAATAACTAAAATTCAATCGAATTCTGACAAATCATCAATACATAAATTGGACTTGTCTCAGGGCGACTGCGTACTTCTCGACAATTTCATGCTTTCCATTTCCAGTGACATTTTACGTTATCACTTTGCCGTCTTCCCATGTACTGAATGAATTACAGACACAATGTGATTTTTTTTTCCAATTTTGGCAATTCCTGAAAGTCATTTTTCTGCGTTTTTTGTTAGTTAGCTTCTTGAGATTTCAACGCTTCAGTTGTTAGCGTTGGCTTCCTGAGTACTGAGAAAGAGTAAATATGGAAAAGTATGAGGCAAGAGAAAAACGACTCGTCTATCCGATGGTGCCGCCCACGAATCTGCGATCATCCGCTGCAAATTTTAAATCATTACCCCAAGCAAAAGGAAAAAGTGAGTCCCAATAAAATGTTTCATGCGAAAGTTCCTTTTTCCCCGAACCATTCGAGTCGGTTATAAGGATATATCCGTACCCATGGCAACGGGATCTCCTGGGGGAACCTTCTGCGTTAAGCTGGGTTCCCTTCCTCGCAATTAGGAGAACGTGGTGAGTCCCTCATGTCTTTTCTCGGCAATACATATTCCCATACAGAAACAAGGATATTCCTCTCGTAATGGACAACCGATAAAGACTCTCGCACGACGGCTTCTCACGCGTTCAGAGCTTCTCAGCACTCTAGCCACCAAGGCGAATACCGTTTTTCCCTTTGCAGGAGCGAAATAGAACTCTGTGATGCCTCTCGCACCTGCTTGTGTGAGATGTTGCACCAGCACTTGCAGGTCCCTGCTGGCATATCGCAGCGTGTGCGCCGCGACCGCGTCTTCAGCTGTGCCTTGAATCGGAGGGCCTCTACGGCGAACATGTTCTGTCATTGGCAATTTCGTCAACGAGTCCACAAGTCTGAGACACCCTCTTGAACCACGAAGGAATTTTCTCTTTCACCATAAACGAGAATTCGAGTTTTATGCCGGTCAAAACGTTTCGAACCGAACGGTGAAAATGTAAATACCTCGTATAAGTCTTTTTTTTAAATTTATTTAAGTAGCCGTTCATGTTTCCAGTGAACCCATCTGCAAATAATGCGGATAGATTCTTTCAAGATGAGTATATCCGCCCCTTGACAAGGAACAGGATCCCATGCAAACACGTTTTTTTAATTATTTGTACTTCCTTCATCCTTTTGACTCAGATCATGATCAATGGAGTGAGCTTCACCGAGACGGCAACGAGAAAAGTGATAGAAAAAAAATTGAAACCGCTAGGAGCACGATCCCATGGAAATCAAAGCAAATTAGAAAAGAAGAAAGCCTTTGACAATGAATGCAATGAAAGAAAGATGGCCGGATGACATAGGTGATCTCCACCCATTCTACGTACAGCGCTAGATGAAATCGATATCACTTTCTTCTTGCTGTGGATTGGAAAGGCAGGAGGACCCGTCAACGTCTCTCTTCGTCCTCGTCTCGTGCCTGGCGGGGGAATCCAGTTGGTTAGTTGTGAACGATGCATCATGACCTTGCTTTCCATGGATTTCTTCACCGTCCGAACGCGTTTCAATTAGTGCAGTCTCCACGAAGATCGTCGCGATCTGGAAACTGTACCCTTTTTCATCTGAAGCACAAGCTTTCATATCCCAATGTACGAGTCACTTGGAAAGCGGCCCACGTTTTCCACTAAAGACCTTTACGTGCATGAGCTATTTTGCTGGCTTCAATCAAGAAGGAACAAAGTGTATTGCTAGAGAAAGTTGAAGAAGGATGCATTACGCGGGGCATTTTCAAATTGTTTTTCCTTGCTGCCGCACGTCTGAACATCACGTCATGCATTCAGATTCCAGTATGCAGGTATTATTCAAGCGTTGACATACGTATCAATCATCTGATTCGACAGTGCAGTGTTTCGTTGCCCCGATGACACAAATACCTCGATAGAATGGGAAGGCTTTGCATCCTGCAGATGATAGAACGACTCGAGGAGACTCAAAGCTTCAGCAGGAAGAGCCTTTCCTTGCCCTATCTCCACCCTGATAAATTGAATTGATCGATGTTGCATACATTTCGAGATACCGCAGCTCTGAAGATGATGACTCCCGCGCATGACTTCCGTGAGGACTGAACGAGAGTTCCCCAGACGTTCACCTTCAAGCCGGTTCACAACCACGATGGTGGTGGTGGTGTGATGAAATGGGATTATCCCAACATCATGGTGGCGCCTGTCTTGTCTCTGTTCAGGATCTCTTGTGACAGTGTTTCTGCATAGGTGAGGCTTGGCTTTCGCCTAAAGCGGCTCGCTGTCTGAGGTCATACATTGAACTTTCTACTCCCCTTTTAACATTTTCATAATTTTGACCCAAACCCAACGTCAGAATAGCTTACCTAGGTAGTGTAATCTAGACCCTTAAAGTCTACTAAGTCAATCCTGTTGCACTTAAAGACTCCTGCCGACCTTCTCTCCTGAAATGTAGCCCTATTTTATGACCAGGCTAGGTGTAGGCCTATCTATGTGTATTTGGATGATAAATCTATAAATCCAGTCTTGTGTTTCTTTCAAAAGGGTGAGCCTTTCGGAATTGTCATGAGAAATGTCATGACTAGAGGTTAAAGAATCAACGTTGTCCTATGTCAATCTTAACCTCAGGGAAACAATGAAAAAGTGAAGTGGAAGCAATTGGTGAAGTAGGAGACAAAAGTAAACTTGTGGAGCAGAGGGGAAAATATTGTGTTTTTCATTAACTGTAATGTACTTCCTGACACCATTTGATTGCTGACCAAATCATGCAGGATTGAAGACCCCAAGTTGGGTCTGTCATTCCTATGGCTGCAGTTCTAGATGAAAGCATGGATGATCTGGATGGAGATGACAGAGATGATGTTTCTGAGAATAAAAGGTCAGTCAACAATCTCCTATCAAGAGCATATAAATATTGAAACTCATCCCAAGTCATTTTGCTTCAAGAGCATCCATTTTGCCTTTTCACATTTTCAGGAAATCTCGGAACATGAGTGAGAAGAAGAGAAGGGATCAGTTCAATATTCTGATCCATGAGCTGTCATTTATGGTGTCTTCCAATCGAAAGTTGGATAAATCCAGTGTCTTGAAGGCTGCTATTACCTTCCTCAGAGATCATAACAGTGAGTTATACTGCAGGCATTGTTATCAGCCAAGAGGTCATGTTATTTACAGGACTGGACTAAAAAGGGGCATAAAAAAGCTTGAATTAAAAGTATCTTACGAAATGTAATCTCCTTCCATTGGGAAGGTAGAAGTTTTAGGTAAGGTTTTTAATGCAATTACCTATATGTCTATTTACATGTTAGTGTGAAGCTTTTGCTAATTCTTGCAAACTGTATCACATTTTTACCATAGCACAATCACAATAAGTTTGACATTATATGATTTCATCTTGTAACAGGTTAAATAATTTTTTTATGGTATAGCCCCACAGGAGCATAGAGAGAGTGCTGCAAATATCAGCACTCTATGCAAATTTTTCACTTCCTCCTTGCCTGGTGGTTTCTGTAAGGGAGCTTAGTCGTTCACATTGGGTTGGGTCATACCTTTATTATAAACCTTGTACTGTACACCTCAAAGGCCCCGGGTCTTTCCTTTCTTAGGGCCTGGGTCAAACATGAAGTTGGGTCAGATGTTGGCAATCTCAGCACACTTGCTGGTATTGTCAGCACCACCCTGTTGGGAACCTTGCCACACTTAGGTGCAATACCCTAAAAAAACTATACCTAGTGTGGAAGAGAAGAACAGAATGTGCAAAATCTTAGCAGAACAAAAGATTTTGCAGGATTTTCGGAGTGCAATCAGAGAAGACAGCCAATGAGAAAATTACAACAGCATATAAGGCTGTTCCAAGTGCATGTTAACAACATTAGTCCCACCATCTGAGAATACTTGTCTACCCATGCCTAGGGGACTGGTAGTGGAAGCAGAATGCTGATGATTGCAAAGTGCCGAGATTAACCCCAGTGCTGACATTTGCAGCACTTACTCTACCAGGTCATTATTTCGGGCATCTATCCAACACCCACCTTTTGTGATATGTATGTAAAAGTAGTTTGGGGCTATTACCTGTGGTCTAAATTTCCTTTTACTTATGGACTACCACTTCGGTGAGGTAGATTCTGGAGGTAGACAAAATGAAATATGAAGCATCCTGGTTGCTGGGACACCTAGATCAGTGCTTCCCAAACTGTGTGCCACGGCACACTGGTGTGCCACCAGTAAGGCTTAGGTGTGCCGTGAGATTTGAGAGTTTACAAAAAAAAACTAAAACTTTAAAAACTTAAAAGCAAGAGGGAACGCCATATCTCAGTGGAAAACGAACGAGTTGCACTATCACGGCTCGTATCAAACTGCTGTGTTCAGTGAAGCAAGCGCAAGTTTCCCATTGAAAGTAAGTAAATGGCTAGGTGTGCAGTGGAAAGTTCAAGTGTCCTTATGTGTGCCGCAAATAAAAAAAGATTGGGAACCACTGACCTAGATTAACTGGGAAAGAAAGGATGATCATTGGGTGATGTTCTGAACCAGTAGGTTTCAGTAGGGATTGTCACTTCCTAAACTCAGTGGTTTTGTCCTTTGGGGTGCTGCTTCAGCAAGGTGGATTCCAATGTCCTGGGGTAGCAGGAAGAGATTTGGTGAATGTGTTCTAACCAGTGCCAGGTGAATTAATGCCATCATAGCTTCAGATGCAGAGAATGAAATGAAGAGGACCAAATGGGTAGCTGTCTAATGCTGCTGTTGTACTGAAGAACCAGGATGATGGGTGTTGCAAGGTGTCCCCTTTGCTAGTGATATCTTTTTATAACTAGGGGAAAAAGAGGCTTGTTCATAGTGATGTTCATAAATTAGGGTAGTGGGCAGTCTGCAAAAAAAATCCATACTTTACTGTAAAGATGCAATACTGATACCAGGAAGCCTGCACATCCAGATGTGGCCATCTTCTCCAAAACTTCAAATTTACATCACTTTATTCAGGAATGGAAAATCAAAATGCAAGATGCCAGGATAGTGATATACTAAAGGAGTTCATATGAAATAGGGACAATGCCTAAGGGTAGCATAAGGTAGGGGACTGACAGTCTCCTTTTTATTTGAACACCCATAGTAGATAAAGTATTTCTGTCATGATAGGGTGGATCCAAAAGCTTGTAGAAGTGACAGGTCTCTGTAGGGTTTGCATGGAGTGTTGCAAAGGCCATAATTGTGTGGAAGAAGCCATCCACATATGCATAAGGCATGACTCTTGCATAAAGCGAGGTGTTGAGGTCATTGGGATCTTGAGCCTTGCCAGCCCGAGGAGAGAGTTGCAGAACAGGAAGTATATTGCTTGCACAGAGTCTAATTTAACTATATCCTGGATTGAGTAGTGCATCTCCCTCATCAATAGAGGGGATATAGCCTTCTGGTTTCATCAGGGATGCATACATATACCTTTCTGGCCACCCCAACCTCAAGGAGGCAGTGGAGATCAAGCAGCAGATCTGAGCATGCAAATGATCATTCACCCTCCTGGGGTGGACATGACGTTGAAAGGAGCTAAATGGCATTTAGTCATGATGTTTTCCAATTGCAATGTAAACTCTGGGAGAGTGGATACTTTGCAGACTGAATACTGATAAGAAAATGATGTTCAAAGGTTCCTGGTGGGGGAAGTTTGGAATTTCCTTCAGAAATGTCAAATTTGGAAATTTTATAGAGTATCATGTGGTAGAGCCATGCCCCAATCACCAGCCATCTCTAGACATTCTTCTTATTCCCACTTCTTCCATCATGTTAACTCCCATTATTTTACCTGCACCATCTATGAAAGTACTCTTAAGGTTCTCTGCTAGACTGGGCCCTGCACAGCTTTTTTGGATGGATTGATGGCTTCTGGGGTAGGAATCATTATTTGCTATGTTTGAACTTGAACTCTTTTACCTTTTTTCAGCTCTTTCAGAGAGGTCTCAGTCATTTGAGATTGATTCTGATTGGAAGCCTGCCTTTCTTTCCAATGAGGAATTCACTCATTTAATTTTGGAGGTATGTTCAATGACTTTCATGCTAAAACCATTTGAAATGCTATATGCTTCATGAAACATTCATGATGTTTTCATTAGGCCCTTGATGGATTCCTCATTGCCATCTCCCAGTTGGGCGAGATCCTTCATGTTTCTGAAAGCATTTCAACCTTCCTTGGGCATGTGCCTGTAAGGAATTATGTTTTGCTGTGTTTGCCTTGGTAGGTTTAACTTCAACAATTTTTCATATTGGTAATCCTTCTACTTTCCTTCCTTTTCTTTTTTTGCTCTTGTAAGGTATTTGAAAGGTTTTACATCATATAACCGAAAGATATCCAATTCTTTTGCTCTGGGCCCAGATTTTTCTCAGATCTATAGTTTCCTTGTTTGCAGATGGGCTCACTTAGAATCTACACTGGTGGACAAAATTAAGGTAACTGTTTTTTGTCAATATTTTAATTATAATAGTAAGTTAGAATGTGAAAATATGTTACTATATGTACTTTTACATGCAAATTCTGAATATCCAATTGAAATTGATCTATGTGCATTGCAACATGCAAATTAGTGAAGCCTATAAAAGGATAGTGGCTATTGTCTTCTTCTAAGCATGTCTGTTGGAACATGTAATTTTTTGTACCATGATGTAATTATCATGACTGTTATTACCAGTCCAAAGTTCCTCCTTTCTTTTATACACTTATCAGTAATGATAAATTTTATCTCTCTACAAATTTTCATTGATATAACTCACAGAATAAAGATGTTATTCTGGTTTTTGTGATTGTGATTGTTACCTTAATTTTGTCCACCAGTGTAGTCCATGCATTGAATGCATGATGGAACCTGATTAGAGATGCCAGGAGTTATAAACTTCAGATATTATGGAAGAGGCACTTGAATGCAATAAATGTCACCTTATGCATATGGCAATGGTACAAGTACTGTTAGTCTCTGCATCCCTCTTAAAAGATTTTAGTAAACTCTCAATTGATGAGTTAAATGTGAGGCATTCATTATATAACCCTCCCATTTTTATATGTTTTTGATGTGTCTGCATGGTGTAGGGCTTGAGTTCATTCCTAATTACCAAGGTCTGGATTGAATTCTTGTGTGCATTGATGGAATATCTCATACTTTGTTTCTTGTAATTTTCTTATTATGCTCTGTGAGCAACTTATTTTTGTGCACATAGATGAAACCATCTTTTTATTTTACTGAATAGTGAACCATTAAAAAAGACTGCCTTCTACAAATTGCCATTCCATTGAATAGCATTCACAAATCCTTCATTTTTTGCTCTTTTGCAAGTCTACACCACAGTGCAATTGAAAAAGAGAAAAAACAGGAATTCATTGAAATTTTCCAGGCTGATAATAAATCTGTTAATTAGATTAATTTTTTACATTAATTGATGAACAGTTGTTTTATCTGCATTTTCAGCCATGGTTTTAAATTGTTTAGTTTCCAATACCTTTCTTACTCTTGGCCTAAACTGGTATTTGAAGTCATTTAGACATGCTTTGAAGTAATGTCTTTTTTATGCATTGTTTTTCAAAGGCTGATCTAGTCCATACGTCCTTCTTTGACTTGATACCGTCCACTGAATGCCCTTCAGTCCGTCAGATTCTCAGTCAAGTGGATGGGGATTCTTGCAGTCCATTCCTCCTTGGAGACTCTGTGCCTCGTAAGGAACATTGAATAGGTCAACAGGGATTTGCAAGTGAACTCTTACCAACTTTTTTCATTGTGATATGTCCATGAAGTAACTTTTTATGAACAACTTCATTATTCAATCTGAAGTAGCCATTTATTTGATATGTTTAGACTATTTGTACACATTTGAATAGTGTGAGATCTTAACCTTGCTCTCTTTTGTGAGGATAAATATGTCTGATTTTCCTTAATAATCAAATAGAGTGAATCCTCAACATAGCACCACTGCAGGTCATCTCCAACTTCAGTATTACAATGTGGTTGGCACCTATATCGAGCAAATCACAGTATGCCAGTTGCTTTGTTACTGAAATGTTCAAAGAAAAAATTTACAAAATGGATGTGAAGCTCATCTTGCTATCCTTAGACTCTTGATACTCTACACTTGTCTTATTGTACTATCCATTCCACAGGTGGGAGAAACCTCTTGCAGTGGCAAAAAATATTTAGTTGTGTTCATTACTTGATAAGGATTGTAGCAGGCATAATATTTAGCACTGAATCAAGAAGATTTTTTGTGAAAAAAACATGCTTGTACAAATGACAGTGTTGGTGGATGGTGGGTTGCAAGGGTGGCACTATAATGGAATCACACATTACTAGCTTACAGAGATTTGCTTTCTGGAAAGAGTTGGTGACAAGCAAGGGTGGTGGTATATTGAGGGTTGGTTGTAATTGTCCAAAAATTTTAGTTGTCACTTTATGGACATTTTGTTCATGTTCATTCTGTAGCACATGTAAGTTTCTCAGGAGAGAAGCTATTGAAACCATGTTATTAGATGATACTGCCTGGATTCATTTGTAATTCTTGTTTGACTACTGTACCACCTCTCTGCATCTTCTCAATTTGCCATTTTGTTTGCATTTGCAGGGCAGAAAAGCTTTACTTGCCACATGAAGAGAATTTCAGTTGGGCCTTCAGAATGGGTGGCAAGTCAATATGAGAGGGTTTACTTCCGAGGATACTTCAAGGAGATGAAAGGAACTTCTACATTCAGTGTGTATCAGTTACTTCATTTTACTTTATTACTTTATTTTTAGTTTAATTTGCCAATGAATTGAATTAGAAGTAGGTTGGTGTTCTCACAATTCATATCAATTAGGCTGTAGAATTTGATTTGTACAAATTGTGTACAAATCAAACTGCAGCTTTTCTCCTTACAGGGTGTCTGTGCATCAGAAACTGATCAGAGTAAGTAAACAATAAGTTCTCTTTTTGGAGATGTCTCAGGGAAAGTTTCAATTCATTGAAAACTAGTGAATAATGTCTTGTGGTCAGGTGAATGCCTCTTGCCACTTTCTTCTCTTTGGATACATATATTGATAAGATGTCATCTTTTGGGGTTGGACTTGCAATGATTGAAGCCTAAGTCCAAGGTCTACTAGACCTTTAAACTACCACTAAAGCTGTGGACAACATTCTAAGAATATTGTGAATGTGGAGGCAAACTCATACAGTATGATCATATTTGGATTTACATGCTGTTATCTGTGCCTTATGTATATATATACAGGGTGTCCTATAAGTTACTTCCTTATTTCAAAAGGCCCTATCTCCATTATGGAGCAGCCTAGAAACTTCATATTCAGCACATATGATGTACAGCCAATGGGATTTATGATAGCCAAGTTTCCAAAGGTTTCCAAAAGTTTCTGGAAATCACCACCAGGGTGATTTCCACTAGAGGCACTATACCAGCCAAACACCCAGTCCAAAATCAGCACATATACCTATATCTGCGTGGATGGCATGACCAAACCTGCAGGTATTCGATGTGGCCACCCCCTGCCACTACCACCACCTCCATCCATGTAATGAAGTGGTAGATGCCAGAACGTAATTAGTCAGACAGTGTCAGAATCTGGTGCAGCATGGTGCTGCTATGCATTCCTTGAGCTCCACTAAGTTTGCAGGAGGGCCACTGTAAACCCCACAGTCACCCCCCACATGCAGTCACAGACACATGGTGGCATAGAACCTGTTTCCCACCACTTTGCCACAAACTTCCATATGGCACGTTTTGCTGACACTAACACATCAAGATACTTCTCTGCAAATGTTTTACAACAAATCTAGCAAGATTTGCTTTCAAAGTAACTTTCAAGAATAAAATCTGCTACCATAACAAAAACTGTATTACTCACAACACCGACTGCTTACTTCAAGAAACACAAATGCATACTGTTCTGGAAGCTTTTGTAGCTCAACTGACCCCTTCCACCCAACCTGCCACCACATGTGTCATGACTGCATGTATCTTTAAGCCTCTCCTGCCGTACCACAACAAACTATCGCAACTGTGGCGAAAGACAACCTCCAACAGGAAACAATACGGAATTACTTGCAAGCGGGACACCCTGTACAGTATAATCACATACTCATTGTTTCAATAAGAAGATATGATCAGATATATTTTCACATATATATAATCAAATATAATCATACCTGAGCACATCTCAAAGGTTACTGCTAACTTCACATTTCAAGCACAACCTCTGATACACTTTTTTGGAACAGCACGAAGATTATGGCATGGGCTGTAAATCTGTCAATTGTAATCATGTAAATTTTAAGCCACTTGCCAACTTAAAAAAAAATTTTATAACAGACTGCAATTTAAAACCAGAAGTTAGAAATATTGTTGTGTAAAATATTCACTGACCCGTTGTGATTCTGATTTGGAGCTAGTGAGATGTGGATGGCTTTTGGTCTTGGCAGTAATGTCCAATTTGAAGTGGAATCTTTCCTGACATGCAAATATAAATTTTTATTATGAGGGTTTTCTAAAGCCCACCTTGAAGCCTCTCATGGCTCAAAGTTTGGGAATCACTGTTCTAGGATGAATTTAACAGATGAAATGGAAAATAGCCAAATGTCCTGTAAACCAGGAAAAAACCCTGATTTTTTTTGCATCTCCCTATTGCACAGCTTCTTATGTGGCATTTTCTTCATTATCCATTGTATTGGTGGGCATTATAACATGGTAGACAGTATTTATGTATACATAGTGTACTTAAGAAGAACCCAGCTCCCATGCATATGGCTTCAGTCCCAGCCAGATTTTATGGCCATTGTCCATTCATGCTATTAAAATACTTCAACCCATGCTGCAGTCATGTTCTGATCACTCCTCCTTGTTCACAAGTAGAATTTTATTCTACTATCTCAGACTATATTTCCAGACTGAGAACTTACATAAAATTCTACCTTATCCTAGAGGGTTGCATAAGTGAAATTTCAGGGATTTGCATGGTCATATTCAACATTTTACTGGAAAAAAAGTTATTGAACTGTATATTTAGAAGGTAGTGAAAGGTACTAAAATGGGGGTGCCAAAAGTATGGCATGCAGACTGAATTCATCACATCACATGATTCACATTCATGTAAATAAAATGCATGTAGGACTGTACTGTAAGTTTTAAAAAAAATTGCATTTCTCATTTATAATTTAAAAAACAGATCAAGGAAAATTTTTTGGCTCTCTGGCCATTCTTTTTACTTCCAGTGTGGGCCCATCACTCTAAAACTTTGGATACCCCTGCCCTGAAATTAAGTAGAAGTATAATCCCACATCTTGGCCTCCCAGAAAATGGTTTGGCTCTGCCTGGCATGATATCATGGCACCAGGGAAATGACTAACTGCTACTTTTCACTATAACACACTATAATGCAAAGAAGTCAAAGGCTCACTCAAGCAAATGTTTATAGACAGCTGTAGTGCTGCTATAGACCTCTGTACCCATACTAATAGCTATATAAGGTCTAGCCAATGTTTGGAATGTTAGTTGACAACATGATGGCAGCTTGATGGGAGCTTGGTGTCTTCTAACGGCATGGTAACTGGGAACCATTTTGGGGAAAAGTGCATCCTAGCTACAATGCTTCTGGACCCCCCTAAAAATGTGGTTTGTAATGTCACAGCACAATGGAGGTATTGTGAGCTCAGGGGCAACCTTGCTTTGCCAGGCTGTGTTCAGGTTGTCCTCCTTGTCAATGGGAACTTAGCACCATATTGACAGGTGGACCAATGGCCATGGGTGGGGCTGGACTTCTGACAGGACAGTGTACATGAGGCCTAAATTTTCATGTTTTAAGAATGTCTGAATCTTGAAACATGTATAAATTAGGAATTTGGAGCTCCAAAGTTACCACATATAAGATCATTTTGAAAGTAGCATTCAAGAACCTCAATATGGGAAAATTGATTTAACCCTTTTGTTGACAAATTTTTTCTTATGAGTTGCCTTCTAAGAGCACAAGGAGGATCAAATTCTTTCTGGGAAGTAAATTACCCACTTCCCACAAAAGGGTTAAATCACATAATTTTTTTTTTCAACTATAGCACTTGATTTAAATCTTAATTGAAACCAGCCAACATGTGACCATGGTGCTGGTTGCATGTTTGCAGATAAGTGGACCTTGTATATGCCCTTATTTGTTCTCTAGGATGACTGTGGTTTTCATCCCTGCTTATACTAGTATTTGGGGTACTTTATTTTTATTTGGCTTGTTATTAAATCAAGTCATATCTGTCTTAAATTAAAATGAGTTTATTCATTTTTTGAAGATGCTCAGAATGATGGTGAGAGTCTCTTGGATGATGATAATGATGAGGAGGATGATGGTGATGATGAAGATGATGACGAGGCTGGTGATGATGATGGGCCCATGAAAGCACCCAAAGTTCGGAGACTTTGCATTCAGGCTGATCACAAAAGGTAATTGGGTCTCTGGGTCCTATCCCACAATGCATTACTGTTGGGGGCATAAAGTTATTGAGCTCTTCCACTGTACTAGCTTGATTTGGTTGAATGGTATGCTTATGCTTCATTGGTCACATTGCAAAATTGTCACTCTTGGAGTGGCACAGGAGGCCACTCTCATGTTAGTTAAATGGTGGTGTTCGTTGACATGCAAGTGTTAGTTGTCCTGTATCAATGATGCATGGGCAATGAATATCATGAGGAATAATTGCAGCTTAATGATGAGGTGGTTTGTGCTGGTCTTGCTTTTGCAGAGTTGCATGGAAGGGAATGAAGAATGAGGTGTAACCAGCTGATAATAGGCTCAAAGTGCTTATGACAGTGTGTGTACAAGTGAAGTGTGCCATTACTGTCAACACTACAATAGGTGAAGGAACCCATAGGTTCAATTTGGGAACATAAACGCTTATTTCCAGGACCATTCCTTGCATATTATTCTTCTGGGTTGATAATGGGGTCATCCTCCTCCTTCCACTTTTCTGATAATGGGTAAATCTTACAGACAGCAGTTGTTTATGCATACTTTTTTTCCAGTAGGCATTTATTCATAGCTTCTGGTTGCCTTCTCATCCCTCAATTGGTCCGTGAAATGCCAGTCCTGGAGTTATTCAAGAGTGAATTTACTTCAAGGCATTCTCTGGAGTGGAAGTTCCTCTTCCTTGATCATAGGTGAACCTTCTATAGCTGGTCTTTGATATTGTTTGATCAAAATCAAGTTACTTGTTTAAGACATGCAATTGGTGTTTGCAGGGCCCCTCCAATCATTGGATACCTTCCATTTGAAGTCCTGGGTACCTCAGGTTATGACTATTACCATGTGGACGACCTCGACAGAATTGCAGAATGCCATGCTCAGTGTGAGTGTTAGATGTTGTGACCAGTCTCTGACTTTTGGGCCTATCTAGATTCTTCACATGAGAAACATTCAAATTCAAAATGTTAGGTCTATCCTAATAGTTCCTGCAATATGGAATTACGTACACCATATCAGTTTAGATCTGGTGCATGCAAAAGACACAGGGTGTGAAATGGTCCTCATGCCATCTCTTGTACATTGGTTGTGCTCTCTGTTGCTCTAGTAAACATTAAGAATTTGGAGTTTTTGTCATTGAAGTAGAGATATTGAATAAATTCTAAGTTACCCTGGCAACCCTGAAAGTAAATACAAAATATACTAAAATTCTCCAAATACCTTTGTAATAATGAATCAATGAGTAAGGATTCATGTAAGAAATTTGGGGGGGGAAGGAAGTGTATTCATCTTTTCACATTCTTGACCTTCAGAAGCATACTGACTTAGGAAATTAAACCTTATATAGTTTTCCATTGCCTTTTAGCTTCTCATGTATTCTAATTAATTCACATAGTGATGGAGACAGGGGAGGGATTGTCTTGCTTCTATCGATTTCTGACGAAGGGTCAGGAATGGATATGGCTCCAGACTCGCTATTTCATTACATATCATCAATGGACCTCCAAGCCTGAGTTCATTGTCTGCCACCATCGTGTTGTCAGGTCAGCTGCATTGTTGATGTGTTTCTCTGGTTATGGAATCAATTGAAAGCCAGTGCTTGAAGGACTGAATCATTTATGACAGCTATGCAAATGTGAAGGAGGGAAATCTGAAATATGATGGAGATGGAATGAGCTGTGGTCCAATGTCCCCTGGAATGTCATCCACAGCCTCATGTATGCTTTTTCTGTGACATTGTTCCTATCTTTCTCTGCAAAAATATCTATATTTTTAAAGATATTGATAATTTTCTTAGTAATTTGATATGAAGTCATCTTTATCTCTTTGTTCCCCCCTCTTTTCCTTGGTTCCAATCAGCCTTTCCACTTCATAGCAGCTTTGTGGTGCATCTTGGAACTGTTGTTGGATTTGGCTGATAACCAAACTGCTCTTGTGGAAGGACTGGTGTATATATCCATATATACTTCTGAGAATTTTCTTGTTATCCTTTCCATCTCCTTTTGAGGCTATTTTTTCCCAGCTTTTGCCATGGTGAATCATAATGAAATATTTTGAGTTAGTCTTGCTTTTCTGGACAAATTGCAGATGGCAATGGGAAATTTTTTCTTGTAGCATCAACCTCTGCAACAACTGGTGGAACTGCCAGCATTCTGAAGGCTGGTGATTCAGACAATTTGTCCTCCTGCAGTCCCATGAAGAGCCCATCTGGCTTATCAACTGTGTCTTTCAGAGAACCATATTCAGTACAGAAGCCCCTTGTCTTCAAATATCACCAGCATCATCATCTTCACCAGCATCATACAACCCTGTCTCATAGGCAGCGGTGGGTGCCAAGTTCCTCTCTGAGAATGTATGCCAGTTTCCCGTTCTTTGTTCCAGTGGTGCTATACGCAATTGCACATTATGTGAACTTCTTATTTTGTGACTTTGATAGGTCAGACTCATCATCCATGCACCCAAGGATGAGTGCATCATCTGCCCCATCTCCTGAGTCAGTTGTTACTTTTCATTCAGATCACATTGGTGGCATACTTCGTGATTACTCAAACTACAGAAGTATGGTCACTGATTCAGATGTTGCATCCATGGTCAGCTCGACTGGCTCTCATTGCTCTAAGGCTTCCCAAGGCAGCACGGTTTGTCCCAAAAGAAAAATATCTCTCATCTGACTCTTCCTGTGTGAAGCTCACAATAACTCACCCTTGGCAGGCATCAATGTTGGACTCAGAACCCAGTGTCAAGTCATCAAACCAGACAACTGGCTATGAGGTTCCGACGCAGATGCATTCATTGCAGGGGCAAATGCCAGGTCCAGGTGGGCCAGCTGGATCTATAGTGCCAGTATCATGGAGCATTAGCAGTCCCATGGGCTCTGCTGCTTCCCCTCCTGCTCCTACTCCTCAAGTAACAGTTGCTCAGTTAAATATCAGTGAAGACCCTTGGCAGTCCTCTCAATCTCTGGTGAGGGATTCAGTGATAAAATATCAGTCTTATTCAAATGGAAAAAGGAAATGGCTTTACTTCTTGTTAATCCATCCACAGGTTGTACAAGGACCTCAAGGACAGCCGAGTCCTCAAGTCGTGTCTAATCCTGTGAGCCCCGTGCAGCAGATGCCTCCATCATCCATCCAATTGGTACAGTTTCTTCTCAACACATCATACACTTCAAATTCAGTATGTGGTAGCAATGAATTCCTGTGTAGGTGGAGACAACACAACCATCATTAGTGTTGACCCCAGCACAGCTGCGTCTTCAGGAACAACTTATCCGGAAGCATGCTGAACTTAGACAGCAATTGCTGCTGCAGCAGACTGAGCTGCGTCAGATTGAACAGCAGCTCTTTATCACTCCTCAGCCACGGTGTTCATGTGGGCTGTTGCCTATGCCCAGCATGTGTTCTGCAACATCATCTTCTCTACCAGCTGCCATTCATACTTCAAACCCTAATTTATCTCACATGGTTCATGCTGCTATTCCAAATCTCAGCACTGTGTCTGGTCTTAATGAACCTCTGGTGAGTTTTGAGTTCTTGTCATTGTGTGTGGGACAGTATTGAAATGGGGAACCAGAGCTTATCTTGTTTTTAACCTATCACAAGGTAAAAGATTATTGCAAACATTTTTAATGAATTGATTTTAAATACAAGATGTCTCAAAAAAAAACAAAACAAAAACACAGTTCCAGGGGAACTTCTTGTCTTTGAGATCAGCTAATCCATTACACATTCCCTTGAGAGAACAAGGCCCAGACCACTAGAGGCAGCCTGGTGCTCCCAATGGAGATAACTGGCTCCAGTTGATTGAGGGCAACAGCTGCAACCCGGTGTGAGAGTAGGCCAGCAGCCATTAATTTCAATTAAATTTCTGCCAGTGGTTTATATTTACTTCTTGCTATCTGCAAAGCAAAAGAAGTGAAGTATTGTAGCTTACATTTTTTTGTTGTTAGTACTTGGGAGAGCCCAATTAGACAGAATTTTCTATCAACCCTAATTCATATTACTTCCCCTATGCATGTAGACTTGTATGCACATGTGTAATACACTTGTACATGGTGTGCATTTACATAAAAGTATGTGGTAGTACCTGCAGCAATATAACACTCTGCATCAAAAGTGCATCCAAAGAAATTCAGTGCAGTGTGTGGCTGGTTTTGATGGCTGAAAGGACAATGGACATCTAGCACAGAATTATCCTTGTACAGTGTGTCCATAAAGTGACTACCTATAGGTGACTTTTTTATTATAGACTTTGAAGTAGCCACTTTTAAAACTTTTGTACCAACCTCGGAATAGTGGCTGATCTTTTCTCCTTCCTCTTTGGCACAGCTGAGAATTAATTTCCCACATCTGGTGCTTTAAAGATTTTTTAGAATTTAGTTGAATGGAGAAGAAATTCAGACAATGATTCGTGGAAAATTTTGCTGTTTCACCTAATTCCAACAACTTCTTGCATTTTTCACAGTGTTGATTGAATAATAGAGAGTTTTGGGAATTCAAAATCATAAAAATTAGGAATTTACTTGACAAATTGACTTAATGTGCCAACCACTGGTTTCCAGACATTTCTGAGCACTGGCATTTGCACTGTCGGCAACATCCATGAGAATTCCATCCCTTTTCTGGCACATGGCACAAGAGATATTCTCTTTCAAGTTTTTCAGGTCTGTGGTCTAGTTGCTGTAAACAATGGCTTTTAAGAAGCCCCAGAGAAAAAAAGTCACAAGGGGTCATAATCCAGGGATCATGAAGGCCATTGGCCCTGGCTGACAAGTCAGAATGCTGCACTCCATATGTTTGAACTTGTAATTGAAACAAGGGTTTGGTAAATGAATTCTCAGTCACATTAGAGTATAGGAACAAGAGATGTGACACCATTCCGATGCCTAATGATAAGCAGCCTACAAAAATAAGGAAATGTTGGTTCCTCCAGATTCAGTATGAAAAAAGTTGCACATAGGTAGTCACATTATGGACATCCTGTACAAGTCAATGTGCAAGTCTATGTGTAAAATGGAAGTAATTCAAATTAAGGTCTGTGGAATGGGGTGAACCAAGTCATGTTTGGGTTTCATTTGGCCCACCCTTGTACTTGCAATTAGTGCTAGTGAACATCCCTCGTTTTTCAACTGAAGACAAGGTTGTGGTCAAAGTCCTTGGTATAGAGAAATGGCTATGATGCTTGTAGATTACTGAAAGAATTCTTTAATTTGTCTATGGACTTTGGAATGTCTTGAAGACATTTTATTCCTGTGGGTACACTGTGCCCCCTCCTCCACTAATGTGTAATTCTATGAGCTGTTGGTGTAACTTTTTACTCAATCAACTAATTTTTAATAATGTTGTATCATTATATGCAAAGAATTGCCAATTTCCTCAGAAATTTTTTGCTGTGCTAGTATGCTGGTGGTCTTGGAAATCTCCAGTCAAAATAATTTATCATAATTTTTTTAGCCATCCTTAGATATGCAAATCTCAGAGGATCCTGCCTTAGCTGGGTAATGCATTTTTCTTTCAGTGTTAGTACCAATGAGGTGCCAGAGGCTGAATCTGAGGCTGAAGTAGGATTGAGTATTATAACAGCATCTCCAGTGTCTCTTTTCATGAAGACTGACATGATGATAGCATAATCATATGAGGTCTGACAATCAAATAATAAGACTGACAACACTGTAATGCGTGTGGCAACACTGGGTTACTGGCGATTGCTGTAACCTGTCAGTGCATGTCTTAAGTCTCTGCAGTAACAAACTTGTCATGATACTTCTAGTGATTGCAGAGCAGTACCACTTTACCTAAGGTAGTGTTAGTGGCACTCGTCAAAAAAATGGGTGATAATAATTATGAACAAAGAATCAACGTGAAATTTCTTATCAAACTTGGGGAAAAAACCAACTGAAGTCTTTGAAATGTTGAAACAAGTGTAAGGAGATGAGGAGCAGCAAAATGTCCAGAGCAAAACCAGAGCAAAATGTCTTTGAATGTTGTAAACGCTTTTCTGAAAGAAGGGAAGAAGTTGAGTTTAACAGACGACCTGGATGTCTGACAACTTCAAAATCGGATGGAAACATAAAAAATGTGAGAACTCTGGTGTGAAGTGATCATCTTATTGTCAGAATGATTGCCGAAGAACTGTGTATCGATAGAGAGACAGTACAATTGATTTTAATGGAAAGTTCAACATTTCAAAGACTTCAGTTGGTTTTTTCTGAGTTTGATTAGAAATTTCACGTTGATTCTTTGTTCATAATTATTATCACCCATTTTTTTTATGATTGCCACTAACACTACCTTAGGTAAAGTGGTACTGCTCTGCAATCACTAGAAGTATCATGACAAGTTTGTTACTGCAGAGACTTAAGACATGCACTGACAGGTTATAGCAATCGCCAGTAACCCAGTGTTGCCACACGCATTACAGTGTTGTCAGTCTTATTATTTGATTGTCAGACCTTGTATTGCAGAAGACAGTGTGATGGATGGCATTTCCTTCTTGGGAAATTTATTTTTGCATCACCTGCTATGGGAGACTAAAATTTGATAAATCAATCAAGCAAAGATGATATTGTTACCTGACACTGTGAACATAATAGTTTGCCTATTCTTTTCGTACTTGCAGTAGTTATTGACAGTACAATAAGTAGCTGATTGAAGACTTGCAGGAAATAATATGCATCAGTAAACATAAAAATATGAATAGATGAGAGATTGACTGATATTGAAAAAAAAAAATTTAGAGAAAATATATTTACAAAGAAGCATCTTCCCTTGGGTTATCAGTTATCTGATAGGAAATTCATATGAAATCAGGAGCTCAAATTTCATTTCAATGGATCTGTTTGTCCTCCTTCCAGTTGAATGTGAGTAGGGGTTCATTGGCTTCTGGATTTCCAACGGGTGCTTTCCTCACCCATATCAACATTCCAGGTTCTGCTGCTCCTCTTGCCCATCAGCCAGACCCATATGGAAATCCTGGAGGTACACACCAACCCCCTAGTTGCTGATGTGTAGAGTCAAAATAACTTCAATTCCTGTCTCTGATTTGAATCAAATCAGAGTAGGCTGGAATTTCTTTGATATTTTTTGTATTTCACAAATGACTTCTGCTTTGTATCTTCTTTTGCATTTCACTGTTACTGTGGATTCTCTTCTGATTTTAGATGATATGGGTTGATGTCAAAGTCTTGTTTTCAATGAGATACTTCACGTATCTCCTATTTTGGTTGTAGTCCTTTTGCAATTTATCTTGTCATTCAGAGAGTACAAAATCCTCTACTATTCTCTTGAATTAAATGGATATGTCATTGGTAATCCACCCAGAATTCTAAAAAGGGAAATTTTCTGTGACATTTCTCTGATTTTGGATTACTTAATAGTGACAAGACTGGAAAATGGGATGGTAGAGGCTTGAAGCTGTGATGAGATGAACTAGCGTGATCTTTCTCAATTGATGTTTGGTTGAATGAGAAATACCAATAATCTTTTATTTTTGGCCCACTTGTATGAAACTGTTCGAAAGGAGAAGACTGCTTTCATAGTATTGCTCAAGTGACCACTTGAAGATGATCTGGAACAAGGGATTGACTGATCATAAATTTCATATATTCTCAGGGATATAGTTTGAAACTTGCTCTGTGAAGCTCACAGTAGTGGTTACAGTGTCAGTGATGCCTATCTCAGAATATAACTAGTTTTTATTATGTAGTACCTGAAAAGAAAACCCCTTTCAAACATCTGAAACTGATTATGTACTTTTACATAACCTAGCAAAGCTTAAAAATTGTTTGAACTATGAATTTCCACAATTTTAAGGTTTTTTTCCCACAGGCATATGAATGTAGGTGGTATAAAGAAGAGGCAGAAAGAATATTCTCATAAATACTTGCTTGCATAATTTATATTTGTTATGACATCCAGTCCCAATTGTGCTTGATCATACATTGGGCTTAGTTTCCTCTTGTAATTTCAATTTCCTTATACCACAAAACAGAAATGAAGAGAAATGCTTCAAAGTAGCAGATTGTATTTGAAACTTTGCTATTACTTCACATTGCTGAGGTAAATTTCAGCAGATTGTGGCAGCCATGGAAGCTTTCAAATATATTCATTACATTATGAAAAGATGTGGCAGAGGAGTGATATAAAATACAAAGGGAGGGATTTTAGTCCTCCACTAGAGGTTCTACCACTTCTCTTATTTTCTGTGGCACTGATTTGGGCACAGCTTGTTGGATGTTTGTTCTGTTCTGTATTCCTATTTGTTCATGTCATGTTCTTGGTGTGTTGGTTTTTTTTTTAGGGATGGAGAGAGAAACTTTTCATTTATTTGCAGTTATAAAGATTTTACTACAGTACTTGCATGGAATGTGAATTTCCTAGTACCTGATTCCTCATACCAGGACTTTGTGATTCTCATCGATTGGACGTGTGCAATATAGCCAGAAGTCATCCTGTTTGTTGCAAAGTCAGAGGATTGATAGGATTTCTTTTTTCAGTATTGTAGGATATTGTTGTGATATTGATGGAGAAATGTCTATTCTGATCTAGCATGCAAATAAAACATACAGCATATGCTTCATACTAAATGAGTTTTCCTCAAGATGGAATGAGCTTTGGAGGATTGTACCATTAATGGTACGCTTTGAATCCGTTTGTCCATCATTCTGATTTTGTGCCCATGTAGCTGAGTGCTCTGCTTGAACATGTAATGAAGTACCTGTCCAGATGTGTGGTAGGTATAAAACGATACTTGGAACTTGTTTTAAGTGAGGTCCATGCCGAGCTCCTTAACAGCATGGGACTCAAGATCCAAAATATGCAATAAGATGTACTGGTGACAAACCAGAATATTTTTTCAGAAAACCTTGTGCATCATGATGAAAGGAAGTGCAAATGAATATGTTCCAATATGGATTGAAGATACAGTTTTGTGAAGGTGTTATGAACTGGAGAGTGAAGATCAATAAGCACAAAGCAGATTAGGGTCTGTCCACCGTTTGGGATATGACATCCTGAGTAATATGTTTGATGTACAAAATGTATTTATATTGTAAGCGATAAATCAACATATAAATGCTCCAACAATTAGCTTTAGGCAGTGACTAAAAATTCAATAATCCAAAGTCTTGCATAATCTCTTTTATTAGAGGCGTTCCTGTGTGCAAAGAAATGTGTTGGACGTGACATTTCATGAAACCTCAAATTAAAGTCACTTGCTCTAATGTTGACATTTCTGTCATAGAATGGAACATAATAAATTAGTATCATGTTCATTCTATAGATTAAATGAAAGCCTGGAACTAGTGATTTCCGGTTGAAATTCAAAGACCACTTGGCGTGGGAAGACCCATTATCATGTGGGATATTATCCCAATGCACAGTGGGACAAATATGCATTTTTCTGGCCAAAACAAAAAAAAAACTTTTCCAGAAGTTTCTAATTACCTGTGCTGCTTCATAAACTTGACCAATTGATAGACTCTTTTATGAAAAAAAAAACACGAGAACCATATTTGAGGGGCTTGTGGGTTCCCTATCATTTCGCCGAATGACGACTCGCCGAACTCAATTCGCCGACTACAATTCGCCAAATGTTCAACTCGTCGAATGACGATTCGCCGACTTACAATTCAACGATAGCTCAGCTCGCCGAAACTTCATTATTCCTTGAAAGCGGAAGCTGAAGCACGAATTGTTTTCATCCACCCTATAATAATGGAATTAGAATTAGCCCACTTAAATCTTCACGAGGTGAAGGGCTGCAGTATGTCGTTTTGCAAATCTTTAGAAACTTAAAATATTTTCATCGCTGGTCAGCCGGGGCCGGATTAGTCTTCGCCTGGGTGAGACGGTTTTGTCTAAACGGGATTAAGCCGTCCCTACGCCCCCACGGACGGAGAGAGGAATTTGGGGGTAGGGCAAGGCAACCAGCCTCAAGTGGCGCCATGGTTATGAATTAGTGTCAATGAGGGTGGATTGAGGGGAAAGGGCGTCCCTGTTTTTTGTCAATCTGTCAACTTAGGCGACCTGAGTAGTTTCCTAATACTAATCCCACCCTTCCCAGTGTTATATATTAATATAAAGCTAAGGCTTTGTCATGACAGCATTGCGTTCTGAGAGTTCCACACGCAACATCGTGAAGCAAGCAACAGCAGACGACATCATTGTCAACCCAACATCGTCGCCACTCCTACTCTGCCCTCCAATGCTGCACTGTCGCAGATAGTTTGTCGCAAGCGACAGCGACAACTAGGTGATGAAGACGACGAAGATGGCGTGTGCATCATTCCTCGGCGTCTACAGTGCACCACCGACGGTCAGAGCTTCCTGATTCATTCTGGAGAGAATCTTGTCTTCGCATTGTCCGTCCTTGCTGCAGCTGATCAATGGTTCGCCGATGGGACTTTCAACGTTGCCCCACCGGGTTATACTCAGCTGTACACCATTCATGCTCTGATGGGGGAGTCGACGGCTTTGCCATGTGTCTTTGCTTTGCTGAAAGATAAAACAGCCAGTTCATATACGGCATTGCTTTCACATATCTCTGACGCCAGTCTCAGGGACCTCGCTCCACAATCCATCATGCTGGATTTCGAGGCGGGAGCTATTTCAACCTTCCGTCAGCGATTCTCGTGTGCTACTCTAAAAGGCTGTTTTTACCATCTTGCTCAGAGCATCTGGCGTTGGGTGCAAGAAGGTGAACTCCAAACCCGCTACGCTGACGACATGGAGTTTGCTTTATGGTGCAAATGCTTGCCTGCGCTGGCATTTGTCCCAGAAGGAGATATCATTCCAGCGTTCGAGGCCCTGACTGATGCTCCAGGCTTCCCTCGAGAGCTCGACCCGATTCTTGACTATTTCGAGTCCAACTACATTGGAAATGTTGGAAGAGGTGGTCGTCGCCGCCAGCCTCTGTTTCCCCCTTTGTTGTGGTCGCAGTACCAGCGTACCGTTGCTGGCCTCCCCAGAACCAACAATTCCGTGGAGGGATGGCACAACGCCTTCAGCAGCTCGGTGAACAAAGCCCATCCTTCGGTGCAAGCCCTGGCTCTGAAGCTTCAACGAGAAGAAGCTTCTGTAGCAGCTCTATCGGAGCGCCTTGGGGCTGGGCATCAGCTTCCAGTGCCCCAGAAGAAATATCGCCTGTTGAACGGGAGAGTGAAAATTGTCGTTTCTGGGTACAAGGGTGCCGAATTTCCCAAGTACTTGACGAGTATTGCTCATAATTATGATTTTTGATATGTTTCTGCTGAACGATGACTTGAAAAAAAAAATTTTCTACAAGAATTTGAATGGCTTCAATGTTTCTTTTCACCTCATCCTTAGGAACACGTAAATCTATCATGTTTAATTATTGTAATAAAAAATGTATTCCGGGTGTTGACAAATTCGGCTACCATGTACAAAGCAAAAATGGTTTGCAACGTTTCAATAAGTCAGTCAATTGAATACCTGAGTTCTACTCGCCAGTATACATTTCAAGAAATTAAGCTTTCGAGTTGAACAATCGGCGAGTTGAGCAGTCGGTGAACTGTAAGTCGGCGAGTCGTCATTCGACGAAATGAACGTTCGGCGACTCAAGCGGTCACCGGCTTGTGCCACCACATATAGGGCTATGGAACTAGGGATAGTAATCATTGTCTCTGATGGCTATCACCATTCTCTCAAGAAAGGGAAGGCCAGTTCTTGAGCATCTCCATTCGATATAGTGCGAGGGTCACGCTTTTCTGCACATCCAGTTACAGGGGAATAAGAAAGATTACTACCAAATGTAAAAGAATTTAATCCAGTGCTTCATATGCAATAACTTTTCAAAGTTGAAGTATCGAAAATGACAATGAACGAGCAATCCGCATTCTGCTTCAAGCCAGTGCATTACTTTGGCACTCTCCAAAATGACGAAGCAGGCGGCAGGTGGGTTAATAGATGAAATTGGCTTTAATAAATTCCTGACATCTTCGTTCGAAGAGCATAAGTTGATTCCTTCTTGACTGCGGACCAATTCCTCGACAGTCTCGATATTTTCCTGTTTGAGTTCTATGTCACTTCCATCTTTTCTGGCAATCGATACATTTCCCCCAAAATTTTTCAACTTCTGAAGACCATTACGATGACGGGAGCTTTTTTTTCCCTTAAGGAATTTCTTCATGAACCGGCGAGAGTTGTACCCCTTCATCTCTCAGGAGCCTTCGATTGAGGTGCTTGTCCCCTTCATTGAATTCCATGATATCCTTCGTAATTTTGAATACTGATTCATGACAAAAACTGTAAGAATGGAGAGTTATACCTTAGGTCTACAGAAAATGAAGATACTTTAAATAAAAAGAGCCGCCTGAACCCAAGTGTCTGTAAAAGCACAGGGTTAGAAGTATGAAAAACCAGTTTCATCATTGAAACTGCCTGTGCTCAATCGTGTTGGAGCGCTTGGAAGGGATGCACTTGGCGAGGAGCAGTAGGCAGATTTATTTTTAACTGAAATTTTTTGTTTAAATTTCAAAAAGTTATTGCACTCGAATCAAGATCAATCAAGATCGAGTCAATATTTTCTTAAACTTTGCAGAAACCTTTCTTATCTAATATTTCATTTGTTGAGAATAGTGAGGCTTATGGGAAATAGGATGGAGATACTTGAAAAAATGAAGTGGTCACCTTTTTTTTGAGATTGTACAAGCTGCTTGCTCAGGGGGTAAGCCGGGGCAGCTGAAAACGTTATGGCCGAAAGATAGATGTGTCTAGATATTGTTAGCAGTAAAAACTCCGCCGAAACTTGCAGGGAAATTTTGCATCCCGTTTCATATGTTGCTGTTGCTCATTATGACTAATATTCTTAGCATGCAAAGATTGAAGTAAGCTGTGAAATGAACCCTAGGAGTAGAAACTAAATGGTCGTGTTTTTAAGAGTGAGTACCAAAGGGCGTCTCCTCCATCATTGCTTTCATGCACAAGTGCACAGAAGGGTTATTGTCACCCATGGCAACATGAGTGATGATTTTAACCCTTTCGTGCATGAATCTTTAAAGCAAAACAAAAATATCCCATGTATGGTTTAACGTTTAAGGAGGTAATCCGCCGTAGTAGTCGAATGTTCTACTGCTAGAAAGCAACACTGAATAGATTATGTGCCCTTGAGTTGACTGCACGCACCAAAAGTTTCGAGGTATGAGTACCATGGCTGAAAACTCATACAGTAATTATCGCCAAAAATGTTGCCGTCCACTACAGTGAACACCATGCACGAAAGGGTTAATTTAAAAAATAGACATTCATGGTCTAATTTAAAAAATCCTGAGAACTTAACCGTTAAATATAAGAACATTCTTAGGGCAGGTAGACTCATATGTGGCATTTCTGAATCTTATAACAGTTCTCTATGAGATGAAATTCACTAAATAAAAAAGGCAAACTTTAAATTCTATACTTTTGACCTGTTTTGACCTACTGTGCAATGGTAAGAATACAAGCTTAAAAATTGCTCCATAGACTCAAGTTACATGCGATGCGGACAGATTCCTAAGCAATGCATGCATGTAATGATAGTACATATAGAGTAGCCCAAAAAAGGGCACACTTTTCAATCACCTCAAGTACCTCACGTCTGCTGAGGTCAGCGTTTCCCTTCTCATTCTCGTGAGTGTCGAGCCGTCAAGGGGATGTTAGGTCGAGTGAATGCAACGCCAATTTTTCCGCAACCGAAATTCATACAATTTTTTCTAAGTCACCATTAAAGATATTTCAAGTCTGAAAAAAGCATATTGAAGCTGAGTGTTTCTTCTTTCCATTACATATAACCGACAAAAATTTCCTTGAAAACAAAACCTAAAATGCACATTGAAAAGTGTGCCCTTTCTTATAGGTGACCCACATAACCAAAGAGCTTGGCCCAACAATAAACCCTGCATGGCAAGCTCGGCAGATCATCGTCGGTTGCGTCCTTTCAGAAATATGAATGTTCAAAGATGTACAATTTAAATGAAATTGCCCTGTATACCCTGTATACTCGTAAACGGTGACGGTCACCACGTTGAAGTAACATGAATGTAACAAAAGTGATACATTCAATCCACAATCCACATTCAGTCAACAGTGATTCAACGCCTCATTCCAAACACGTCGGTGTCTATATTGGGGGATACAAACACCAGATTTTATTTTTCAGATTTCGAACTCTTGTTGTACGTCGCGAATGCCCAACAAGCTATCAGGCGAGCCACTGACCCCGAACTTCGCGAATATAATTCGATGGTGGCCCCAAGGCCGTATTTATGGGGGGGGGGGGGGGGGTCATGGGGTTCAAACCCCCCCAAAATATCTTCCTTAAATTTTTGCCATACTGCTATTCCTTGGTTTAAAAGGTGCAGTACTTGGTCTTTTCTATATTTAATAGCTTATGACTTATTAAACACTGCAGCTTACAGGAAAATCCAGATGTCACAAAGACTTACAATGACAAGTATAAAAAAAATTGCCACAGCCCATACGCCAGACCTCAACCCCCCCCCCCCCGAAATGAAATAACAAGTAAAAAAAAAATTGCCACACCCCATCCGCCAGCCCCCCCCCCCCCCCCCCCCGAAATGAAATCCTAGATACGGCCCTGGGTGACCCACCAAGTTTCAGTTACAACATGACGAAAGTGTGACACAGAACCCCCCGAAATTTAACCTTTTTCGATGCTGGTTTCTTTCGCATCCGATGCAAGAGGGAAGAGTTCCTCCAACGGGAGCCTCTAAAAGTGTCCACATGCTTTAACCAGTACGTCAAAAATGGAAAAGTCAAATTAAAAAATGAACTTTCCCCAGTAGCTCATAACCTTGAAACAACATTGATTACATTTTGATTCAACGTCTGGATAATGATTCATTGTAAACTACAAGTTTATGATGAGTCAGGGGAGGATAAATTAAGGTTGATTCAACATAGAAGTATTACCCTTCAACAATGATACATTCGATCCGCACCAAATCAAGGTTGAATCAATGTCATGCGCTACCTGGGAAAATACTTGTTTGCGACTGAGAATTCCCCTTAACATCACAGAATACCAAAACCAAGTTCATCCGGCTAAGAGACAGATTCGGAGAAATACAAACCATCTTCCAACACTTTCATACTAAAATCAATAATCGCCACCTAAGACGCAATTCCAGCATGAGGCTGAAAATATTTCCGTTCGTCACAGATTGTCCAAATCGAAACCATCCAGCTCCAAAGCTGACTTAGAGCAAGAAGAACCATCTTCTAACACTTTCCAACTAAATTCAATAATCATCACCTGCAACACAATACTTCATGTGGCTGAGAATTTCCTTAAACATCACAGCTTGCCAAAATCAAGTCCATCCAGCTCTAAAGCCGATTTGAAGCAAGATAATTCATCATCCACAACTTTCCAACGAGAATCAGTAATCGCCACCAGCGACAAAATTCCAGCGTGTAGCTGAAAATATCCATATTTATCAGATAGCAGAAATCGAGTACAAACAGCTTTGAAGCTTATTTAAAGCAAGAAGAACCATCTACCACCACTTTCCAACTGAATTCAATAATCACCACTTCGTCCTCCACCTAGAGATATAAAATTACCGGTAAGGTAGAGGCCATTACTTAACGGTAATTTACAAGTAATTTACCGGTATTTTACCGATGTACTAGGTTACTGGTGCTCCAAAAGTGCCATATTAAATTTTAACAAAATTTAATTTAACAAAAATTAAGTCTCAATATCCTTTTTTGCAACCCATATATAGCTAAATCAAGATCGCACTTGTGAAATATTGAGAGACAAGCGTTGGCAGAGAGCTATGGATGTGGATGCCGAGAGAGCTAGTAGATCTTTTTTGTTTTTGACATTCTAAGCGCTAAAACAAGCCAAATCTGGAAAATGCTTAAAAAGCATAGGTATGCTGATCGATTCCTGCCCTTCTCCACCTTCCGGTCATTATTAATATTTCCGTCACTAATCAGGCACACTTCCACATGACTCGAAAAAATTTAAAGAACGGAAACAATAGGACTGGTTGGGGAAGGACTCGTTTAAGTTTAGCTCTGATTCGCGCGTGTCTGCGTGCAACATATGAAGCTGTCGGGAAAAGAGGTTACCAGAGACGAGCAAGCCAACCAAAATCGTTCTGACCCCAGTCTGACTGGGGTCAGGGCTATTTCCTATTCGTATTTTCTTTTCATAAGGTTGGATTGAAAAATAATTTTTTTTCCTAATGTTCTATCCACGACAAAAGACT